CACATTAGGATTAGGGAGTGGGCGTGTTCGTTCCAAGGGAAAAGATTTTCAAAAGGACTTGGATTTGAATAGATGGCAGATGATGGCAGATGATGTTGTCATCCCTCATCATCCCTCTGAAGACCCAATTTTGGAAACACATCTGGCCAGTATTTATACTGTGGCCTCTCCCAAGACGCATTGACACTATCGACTTCATTCAGTGCAATGTGAATATTTTGGAGTGGGTTGGATATAGACTTCACATTTTTATTGTTTGATTTGTGCCCAGAGAAGCAGACATTTCATCATGTAAAGTTCCTGTTCTTCGGGAAATTGTGTGTTTTTTTGATGTTCTTGAATTATTTTCTGACCTGGAATTACTGTTTCAAAAAACTCTTAAGATATCTAAGACTAAAAAAAGCACTTCATGAGATGCTAAAACTCACCCACTGGTTGAAAATGTTGATCCTATCCTGTTATTTAAATGTGAACATTTATTGTACATTCAGTGAGTTACAGTGTTAATAGTCTTGTGCTACCCAGCAGGTGTAAAAATTAATAAATATTTTTTTTAATAAATATGTTTCTTGTTTGTGTGCATGAAGCTACAAGATCTAATGAAATGGTTAAACTTTTTCTTTTGAAGATTACAACTTTTTTTTTCTAGGTTTGACCCTGGGTCGGGAGCCTTTGTTCTAGTTAGCCTTTGTTCCAGTTTAGGACCCCTTTGACTCCCCATAACTGCACATATGTTTCTGTCTCTTTATTCTTACTGTGGGTTGCATTGGAAGTGGTAGATTGGAATTTACTTGCAAGAATTCCCAGTAACTTTCCCCTGGGATTACAATTTATAAACTCGAGACTGCTATGAGATCTGGACAAACTCTTATAGCCCTGACTGGGCTCAAATTTGTGATCCTCCTGCTTCAGCCTCCCAAATTCTGGGATTATAGGTATGTACCACCATGCGTGGGTAAAGATTACAGGTTAATTTTTTGTTTCCAGTTTGGCATTTAAGAAGCTCCATCCTACAAACAAGTAAAACACTGAACAAACTGAAAAATCAAGTCTTAGATCCATTAGAGAAATGAAGGTCCAGGCAAACTGCTGCCCTCAAAATTGGAGAGACTGAGTTGTGGGTATAGGGAATCACAATGCATGGAGCAGAAACCGCTAAAGGCACCAGTGGCCAGGTAGGAAAGCCTAAACTGTACATCATGAAGTGCTGAAGGCTCAATATGAACAGGTGTCTGAGTGATAAAAACCTCCAGCAAGGACCAAGTCATTGAGGACAGGCACTCATTTTTCTGAGTCTTACACCCATGCGTTTGACCAACTTTTCACAGTGAATATTGAAGAAAAATCCCCTCTTGGCCTGGCAGGGAGAGGGGAAAGGGTAACATTTTGGAATATGCCAGAGCACTCCACTTCTTAAAAAGACTGCTTGTCGGTGAAACTAGTTTCCAGAGTCTAACCCACAGGGCTTTTACCTAAGCCTAAATGATCTGGGAGGGGGGAAATACCCAACTGCAGCTACCTATAGCCATCCTTTTCCACTTAACGGGGAGAAAACTGGGAAGCACCTGTGAAGATATTGTCCCGAGACTCCGGCTTACAGAAGACCAAGCTGGGGCAATGAAATGTTTCTTACCCCACACTGAACCACCTTATTCCTAAAGGCCTACTTACATACATTCTTTATAATAAGTACATAATGTGTAGCTATCAAAAAAATTACAAGGCATACCAGAAGGCCAAAACCACATTTAAAGAGAAAGGGCGAGTATCCATAAGATATCAAAACAATGTTGTAACGACCATGCGGGGAAGATGAAATTTATTAGAGTCAAAATGGAGTCACTTGTGCCAACTCTAACAAAACAAATAAAGATTATGAAGAGATACTTTTATTGCTTGATAGTAATTATTACAGAAGACCACCAGACCCATAGCCTTGTGCAAAGACTGTAATAACTGATACAAAAAAAATACTACAATACTACTACAATACTACATCTGCCCATTAATTAAACAATTCAACCTTGACTGGCATCACCCTTGTTATTCTTGTGGTCAAGAGTTATTGTTTCAATGTATTTTAGGTAATACTCATTTTTATCTTTGAAAACTCTCTCTTCTCCTTTGTTGATGTCAAATTTGGGGCCTACATTTTGAAAGGAAAATAAAGTACTTTTGCCAAAAAAAGGAAACAAACTTTCTCTTGCCTCAGCCTCTTTGAATATGCTCACAGTTGATTTTGGCATGCATATTCCCATTGCAATGCTACTCCATTCCCAAATAAATATCATTCTTTGGAGACTCTCTAGCTGTTATTTAAGAGGGTAAGAATTTCAAACACCCATGACTAATAGGCTAAAGATCATGGATAAAGTAGAATGTATGTTAGAACAAATGGACAATGACAAGAGAGAGATGCAAATGCTAAGAAAGAACCAAAAAGAAATGCTAGAAAACAAATACAGTGTGACAGAAATGAAGAATGCCTTCAACAAACTTATTAGCAGGCTGGACAGAATTGAGGAAAGAATTTTTGAGTTTGAGTTTATTACAATAGAAAATTTCAAAACAAAAGAGCACAAACACAGGAAAAACAAAAACAGACAATCCAAGAACTGTGGGATGACTACAAAAGGTGTCTTTATATTACATATACGTAACGGGATACTAGAAAGAGATGAAGGGAAGGAACAGAAATAATAATGGCTGATATTAACTTGCACAAGAACCTGAACTATTTTTTGACAATTCAACTGCAACACTGCAGAAGGTGAATGAGCTGTGGTGCATTATTATTATTATTCAGTGCTATAGAGAAATGATCTATCCATGAAAAGGCATGGAGAGAACTTAGATGCATACTACTAAGTGAAAGAAGCCAATTAAAAAACCCCTATCAATTTAAAAAGCACCTGGGAATAAATGCGTAATATTATATATACAGAAAGTTGGCACGCTCCCTTTGCCCTGCCCCAGATACTGCAGTAGAAAATAGGGGTCAATACAATCATGGCAAATGCAAGCCTCCTACTGAAGATTATGAATGAAGCAAAGAAGGACATGTCCTTACCAGAGAAAGGTGCTTGGGTTTCCAAAAGGCCAGACATTAATTCAAACAAGTGGAATTAGAGGAAGCAGGTTCTAAAGAAAATCAAGTGACAGGTAGGTCATAGAAGGTGGGTGAGAAGGAGAAAGGCGTGGAGAAAAGATGGAACAGAGACCACAGCTTTGCCTATCACTCGGTCACACATCCCAGCTTCTTTGAACCTGTAGTGTAGGGTAAGATTTGGGACTAAGGATTCCTAAGCTTCTTTCATCTCTAATTCTATCAATGAATCCATGGGCTGTAGTGGCCATTCTGTTCATTTCCTAGTCTTTCGGAGTGAGGAAACTATGCTTTGGGGGTGGGACTGAGTAACTTTATGGACAACATCAATGCAGAGGTGGATGAACTTCCCAATGTTGGAATTTTGGACTTTAAAGATGCTTTTGGAAAATTTCCAAGAGATTTCTCCCATATTAAAAGAAGGGAAGAAAAAGAAAACTACATATGGGATGCTTCCAACTATTTTCTTCTGAGAAAGGCAAAACGAGACAGGCATGGTGGTACATGCTTGTCATCCCAGCACTCAGGAGGCTGAGGCAGGAGGATCGAGGTGAGTTCAAGGCCAGCCTACATTACATAGTGAGTTCAAGGCAGCCTGAACTATTTAGTGAGACCCTGTCTCAAAAAACAGCCCCCCCAAAAGGAAAAACCATGGAGACAGTAAAAAGTCAGAAGTAGCTGGGTGTTCGGGTGCATGCTTGTAATTCCAGCACTCTGGGAGGCTGAAGCAGGAGCATGTCAAGTTCAAATTCAACCCAAGAAACTTAGCAACTTACTGAGATCAAAATAAACATTAAAAAAGAGATGGGGTTGTAGTTAGTGTGAAGACCCTATGTTCAATCTCCAGGACCAAGACAAAACAAAACAACAAAACAGAGGTTTCCTGGGGTAGTGGGGGAGACAGAGATGAATAGGTGGAGCATGGATGTTGCAGCACAGTGAAACTATGTAATTTATAATGGTGGATAATGATGACAAATGTAGATTCACCAGTTTTATGAGTTGTACCACTCTCGTGGGAGATTTTGATAATAGGGAGGCTATATGTGTGCGTAGGGTAAAGTGGGATGTGATAAATCTGATTTTTAATTTTGTTTTGAGACAGGGTCTTACTGTGTAGTCCAAGGTGACCTTGAAGTCATTATGTAGCCCAGGCTGGCCTTGAACTGTTGGTGATCCTCCTGCCTCAGCCTCCCCAGTGCTAGGATTTTAATTATGTGCCACGACACCTGGCAAGACATCTCTAATCTCTATGCTAAATTTTGCTATGAAGCAAAAGCTGCTCTAAATAATTTTTTCTCAGTACTGAGGCTTGAACCCAGAAACTTCACTAAGATGCACTTCCAACTCTTTTTTTTTTCTTCCTTCTATTTTCACTTTGAGACAGGGTCTTGCTAAATTACTGGATTGCCCAGGCTGAATTTGAATTTGTGATCCTTCTGTCTCAGCCTCCCAGAGAGCTGGGATTACAGGCGTGAAACATCACTCCTGGCTACCACTCGGCGGCCCAGGGACCATTGAGCCTCGAGAAACTGCTATTTCCTTGGCTGTAAAATGGGCGCTATTAGTGCATCGTGCCTTTGGCTGCAGTACCAAGAGAACAGACAGGAAATGGTTAGCAAAGTGCCTGGAACAGGAGATGCTCTCGGCAAACGTTAGCTTCCAGAGCCATGATTTGTGGCCCGGAAACGAAATCGAATCATTGTGCCCTCTGGAAGCTCCCAACCCAGGTGAAGCACGCGCAACCACTGCAATCAGTCAGCATCCACCGGTCTAGAGACCTCCCCACCTCCCAGCCCTGCCAGCACCGCCTCCGGCCCCGCCCCTCTCCGCCCTCCACCCCTCCTCTCCCCGCCCCGCCCCCGTTCGGCCCCTCCCCTTCCGCCGCCGGAGCTCCGAGCGTGCACGCACCCAGACGCCTTCGGGAGCGAGCGCGTCGGGGAGACTGGGCTACGGCGGCGCAGTGGGCCGGGAGACCCGCTCCCGCGGCCCAGGTGAGGGCGGGCCGGGGCGGTGAGCGGGGTAACGAGCGGCGAGGTGGAGGGAGGAAGCGGGTCCCCGCGCTCGCCGCCCCCGTGGGCGTGGGGGAGTTGGGGTGGTGAAGGTGAGGGTCAGGCACGCGTGGAGGAGGGGCGGGCGTGGGCTGCGCGGGCCGACGCCGGGGTCGGGGCAGGGCCGCGGGCGGGAGGTCCTGGGGCTGCGTTTGTGCTGAGGAGGGTCGCGCGGGGGAGGGCAGCCCATTGCAGAGGAAAGGCCTTTGGGAAAGGGCTCTGTGGTCTACTGAGGAAGTCAGGGACTCCCCGAGGCTTAGACACCCAGAGCTTCCGGAGTTCCAGCTCCTTGCTGGCTGCTTGCTTTTTGCATTTGGAGAGCATAATCAGAATAGTAGCAGGGTCCAGGGTGTCACTGGAATAGCTACATACCCGCCGCGGCCAAAGAAACTTGTGAAAAGGTTGTGCACATTGTGTTCGTAAGTGTCAGAAAGGACACTCACTTTGCGGTTGTTAGTCTGTTCTGTGCCAGCTCTGCTAAGAGGACTTTCTTCTAAGCATCAGGTTGCTTCTGTGTGTTTCCCGCCACCCCCCACACCTGTTTTAAAGGTGGAATTGTGCTTCTCGCGCCATTCCTCCTCACCTGCTTAAGTTACTTAGGCACCGGGCGTGTTCAGGACGTCCTCTTTATACCATGTGCTGAAAGGTGTGGGCACCGCTGCTTGGGGACCACCCAGCTGCCTTGATCTGACGCTAATCTTATTGCTGTATCTTTACATACATCTGAAACCTCTTCAAGACAACTTGACATAGTTCTGTGGAAAGGTGTTCATTTTAGTTGTATTGTAGGTATGCTTTTTATGATTTAAAAGCTTTAGAAGTGAGAAGTACCTACATTAAAGGAAATACACTGGAGATTGCTCATTGCAGGATTCCAAGGTTAGAAGTAATAGTAGGAAGAACTTGGTCCAACACCTCTTTTGACACCTGGTGAGACAGATCTGTGTTTTGACTGAGTCCATTCTTTTCTTTCTGTTTTATTGTGCTCTTTAGCCCATTTAGTAGGACTAGGAACTAAGGGGGAGAAAGGATTTAGTAAACGTTTGTAGAGGTTTGAGTTCAGGCTTCCTGTGGTTGTGTTGTCATTGTGCAGTCTCTTCACCTCCACTGTACACCTGCTTCCAGCCATCAGCTTTGTGAGATGCACTCTGAAAATGTTTCTGAGTGTACTTTTCTAATGGTGGTCAGCAGTGTTCGATTTTTATAGGAAGGAGAAAAATAGCAATTTATGTGGTTATAAAGATCAGATGGATCAACTAACTGTATTGGCCACTGACTTTACTGGTGGTTGTGGCCAGGTGCTTGGAGCCTCAGGAGCTTATATAGATCAATAAAGCCATATTAAGAATATTTCTTTTTGCAATTTAAATTGAGAGTTCATGGGAGAGGTATTGTGTATATAATGTTAACAAGGATTTTCAGGCAAGCAGATCTGAGTTTCAATACTGCCTCTGGAATTGTGCAAGTTACTTACCTATTTTGTTTTTTTTGGTGGGGGGGAAGTTTGGTTTTTTGAGACAGGGTCTTGCTTTGCAGTACAGGCTGGCCTTGAACTCACCATGTAGCTCAGGCTAGACTCTCTCAGCGTCCCGAGTGCTGGGATCACAGGCATGAGCCCCAGCTACTTACCTGCTGTGATCCTCAATCTTATTTTCTATAGAACCAGTGTAGTAAGTACATTTATAAAAATTAGATGAGGTTTATGAAAGGTCTGGAACTTAAGAGGTTTTCCTGAAGTAGCTGAGTAACTGTTACTGTTACATCTGAGCTTTACTAATACGTGTGTGGATTTCTAACTATCTAACAAGAATTAATTGCTAAAACAACAAGTATTAAAGAAATTACTTGGTACTGCAGAGATTATTGACCTGGGAACTTTAAATCATGGACTGATCTGCTTATCATCTAGTTTCTGAGTTTTATTTTATGCTTCAGTAAGATGAGAGTGTAAGAAATTTATGAATTTAGGAGTTACTATAGAAGCATTTTGAGAAAAGAACCCTGCTAGAAAAGACATGAAAATTCTACTGGGAATGCACTGTGGAAACGAGGGGGAATGGCTTGTCTTAGGGTAGGAGGATAAGATGTAAGAATAGATTTGATGTTGAATATTTTCTAGAAGAGTATTAGTGTCTACCACATTCCTGAGATTTCTCCTTTCTGTCTCATAATGCATATATTTGTCTAGAGTACAGTGGAGAAGCAGCAATGGATTCCTTGGACCATATGCTTACGGATCCTCTGGAACTCGGTCCATGTGGAGATGGTCATGGCGCCAGGATTATGGAGGACTGCCTGTTGGGAGGCACCAGGGTTAGCCTGCCCGAAGACCTTCTGGAGGATGTAAGTAGTAATGTTATAAACATTACCCCTCTGCCAGCTTCCTTGGGGAAGAACCTCTCCCATTCTGCAAGCTTTCAGTCTTTTGTGATTCTTGTCCTTTTTAGAAAATATTTTAAAAGGCCAGGTGTGGTGGCATATGCCTGTAATCCCAGCACTTGGGAGGCTGAAGCAGGAAGATCTCCGTAAGTTTGAGGCCAGCCTGGGCTGCATAGCGAGACCCTGTCTCAAAAAAAAAATTCAGACAGTGATTGCTTGTTTTTTTAAACTGTAATGTCTACTTAGTGTTCTGATTAAAGAATGAAATATAAGCTACAGGGCTGGGGATACAGCTCAGTGGCAGAAGTGCCTGCCTGGTAAGTGCAAGGTCCTGAGTTTGATTCCCAGTACCAAAAAAAAAAAAAAAGAAACATAAGCTACAGCCTACCTGTTTAATAACATGGCAGAATAACTTGTTAATATATTTTTAACAAGATAATTCTCAGCAGAATTATATATGTGTTTATTTTCAAATAGTTTCCCTGTTGTGAATCATTAAACAAAACCCTGACATATTACCTCTACCCACAAGGTAACCCTCTGGTCAAATATTAGTATGTGTCTAATACTAATGTTAGATAAGGATTTCAGGGTGCCTTTGACCCTGTTCAGAGCAAGATGTGTAGTCATTGTTATTAAGGAGGCTGCCATTTATTAAGTGCTTATATGCAAAGCACTGTGTATGTGAAAACATTGATATAAGCATATATTTTCATTGATTTGCTGTATCTGGAACATACAGGTACATGTAGACTGTAATAAGCAGTTACGTGTGCATCACCCTGTTTTAGGATATAATTTCATTTAGTCATATTTGTTTAGATTCTTCTTTAACGATATGTTTATAGGTAAAATGGAAGCCACCGTTGTGTGCTTCTCTGATCCTCCCACCTGCACTAGCAGTTGTACTGTAGTTGGTGTGTACATTTACCATCTTTTTTTTTTTTTTTTTTTTCGGTACCGGAAATCGAACTCAAGACATTGCACTTGCCAGGCAGGCACTGTGCCGCTGAGCTAAATCCCCATCTCCCATCTTTTTTTTTTTTAAATGAGGTCTAGCCATGTTGCCCAGTCTTGTACATCTTTTCTTCTAATACTCTTACCAGAAAACCTCTGTATGTAGTTCATTTAGTGAGCACTTTAAATAAATTAAGTGTCTACTCCATGCCAGAAACTGAGTTACATGCTGGAAATAAAATGCAGTGCAAATATAGGTTTGTAGGGGAGGCCCTTGGATTTTGAGTGTGAGTTGCTTTTGATACATTTGTGCACAGATGCTAGTTGGATTTCTGGTCGTTTCCTGCGTAAACCCTTCACATGGCTTTCCTTTGTCCTTAGGATTAAGTTAATAGTTGTTTAACAGTTTACAAGGAGTCCAGTGCTTCTCCTTGCTGTCTTCTGTCTCTTACACCTCTCCCTCTCTGTCGTTTCTCTAGCCAGTCATTGCTTGAAGTTTTTCCAGTTATATTACACATAAAAAGAGCATATGAAATGCATATATATTCTGCCGAAAAATGTATACATCAGCAAAAGAAAAACTTGTATAAATATTTTAATTCTAAATTAATTGTGACAGCATGAGATTAATACAAGTTGCACATAGCCTCTACAATTAGAAGAGATGCTCAGATGGGTGGCCATTAGCTTCCAGATGTTAGTATGGCGAACTGGTGAAGTGCGTATATATTTTTTGGGCAGACTGTATAGAGACTTTAAGCAACAATAAAGCATGCTTGTGAGCCAGACATTTCAGTCCATGCCTGTATTTTCAGCTACTCAGTAGGCTTAAGTGGGAGCTCATGAGTTCAAGACCAGCCTGGGCAATATGGTGCGATAGTCATCTCAATCCCCCTCCTTGCCCCCAACCCCAAAAACAAACTCAGCAGCAGAGATACACACAGACAAAACAAAAAACAAGGGAAAACATGTATTCCCTGCCTAAGATAATGACACAAGTAGCATTGGGCTTCTCCATCTTCTGTCCATTCCTCCAGTGGTCCCTACTGTCCTTTCCTTGTTTTTATGGTTTTGCTCTGTGAATTTCTTAACTCCCTTCCCTATCATTGTTTTCCTTTTCTCATCTTGTTGGTTTTTCTTAGGTGTTCCCTCTACTGGGCCTTCCCGACTCTGTGTGCTGCTGTACGTGTTCTCACTTCTATACTGCATGAAAATGGTGTGTTTGTTCCCCTTGCTCCTCGCAGCAAGTGTGGCAGTCTAGCTGAGAGTACTCGGCACATGTGTAGCCAGTGTGTAGCAGTGAGTGAAACTTGAACTTCATCCTGCTGCCCTCACTTTCAGCAGTGACTTCTGCTCAGCTTCTCTCCCTGTGTTCATCTTTTCTTGCTTCTCAGTTTGAGGTGACTTCAGATGTTTACCCTCATACTCTTGTTGACAGATGTTTCCCAAATGGGATTCTTTTTACTGAGATAATTTTCCTCTGGATTATTATTTACTGTGGATGCAAGATTGTGGTTTACATGTTATCTTTATAATTTCTAAGTTTGAGAATTGAGTAAAGATCATTGTAAATTTTAGTCATTTAAAAATCTTGGATGGGACCGGGGTAATAGCTTAGCAGTACAGCGCTTGCCTGGTAAGTGCAAAGTCCCAAGTTTGATTCCTGACACCAAAAAAAAAAAATCTTGTATGGAATGATGGTTGCACTGTAAATGTGAATTCCTGAAAACCATTCTACTGTATAATTACAAGGGATAAGAGGTAAGCTTTCTGTTAATATCTATGTATCTTCCTATGCACACACACGAAAACTTAAACACTTACTTTTCTGTTCACTTTTTCCCTAAATTCTCCTAGCCTGAGATATTCTTCGATGTTGTCAGCCTCTCCACATGGCAGGAAGTACTGAGTGACTCTCAGCGTAAGCATCTCCAGCAGTTTCTGCCTCAGTTTCCCTCAGACAGCACGGAGCAGCAGAATGAGCTCATCCTAGCCCTATTCAGCGGGGAGAACTTCCGTTTTGGAAACCCTCTGCACATCGCCCAGAAGCTTTTCCGAGGTCTGTAGCTCTACTTCTGTTTTTTATAGGGTGGAGAGTGGGGACACATTCTCTGACATGGATGTGCCTTTCTTTGTTTTATTTTATTCATTCTCATGTACAGAAAGCTAAGCCAACCCAGAATGCTTTTGGGTAATTCCTTGCTGCCTACACTATTACTTTTTAAATAAAATTTTATTGACAGAAATAGAAAATATCTACTATAAACTCATCTGTATAACCACCACCCAGACCCAAGAAATAAAACAGTCCCAGCATTCCCAAAAGTGCTCTTAATGAGAAGTCTAAAATTAAAAAAACCCAGCTTGCCATTAACTTTTTTTCCCCTACAGAAAAGATGATCTTTCAGCACCAAGCCTTTGAGCATGTATATCTTTTACCGAAGAATTCTCCCACATACATATATTTCGGTTATCTGGGCCAAGAAATTTAACACTGAACAAATAATATCATAGAACATTCCATGTTGAAATTTTCTTAATTGTTCCTGAAATGTCCTTTGTAAGTTGCTATTTAAATCCAGGGTCTGCTAAGGTTTTATGCATTGTTGGAGTCTTAAGTCTCTAGCTTTGTGAATTGAGGATCCCGGGCCTTTTAATTTCTAGACAGTGGCATTTTTGCAGAGCCCAAGATACTTGACCTTTAAAATGTCCTGCTTTCTGGGAATTTGTCTTCTTCTTGCTCCATAATTAGATTTGTATTCAGTGCTTTTGGCAAGGATGCTGTCTGGGAAGTACCCTTCCGGCTGCGTCACCTTGGGAGGCGCATGGTGTCAGTTTTCCATTACTGGTAATGCCATGTGTGAGCGCTTTGTTAAGTGATGTTTGCCACACTTTTGATTGCAAAGGTGCCTGTATTCCTTTATTTTTAAAAAGAAATCTGTGGGGAGATACTTTGGGGTCATGTACTAATCTTTTTTCACATATTATTTATTTTAAAGAATAAAAAAACAGTAAAAATGATGCACAATTTCAAAACAAGATGAGTAGCTGGGTTAAGTGGGACCTCTCCTTCTAGTTTTGTGAGGAATCTCCACATTGATTTCCACAGTGATTTTACCATTCTACACTCTCACCAACAGTGGAAAAGGGTTCCTTTTCCCTCACAGCCCCTCCGGTATTTGTTATTGGTTGATTTCTTGATGATAGCCGTTCCTTCTAGGGTGATATGGAATCTCAGTGTTGTTTTAATTTGTATATCTTTAATGACCAATGATGTTGAACATTTTTCATGTGTTTGTTTGTCATTTGTATTTCTTCATATGAGAAGTGTATAGTATTCACCCCAGATGCCCATTTTTGGATTGTGTCTTTGAATTTTGGGGGCCTGATTTCTTTTTATGTTCTAGATAGAAGTCCTTTGAGGTGCAGTGAGCTAAAATTTTGTCCCAATTTGTGGGTTTTCTTTTTACTCTGTTGCTGATTTCTTTTGATGTGCAAGAACTTTTTAATAAGATGAGATCCCAGTTATGGAGTCTTTGAAGTATTTCCCATGCAGTTTGGTTTTTGTTCATGAACTCTCTGCCTACCCCTATGTCTTAAAGATTTCTGTGTATTTTCTCTTCCAGTAGATTTAGTGTTTCTGTTTTAATATTTACTAACTTGTTTCTTTAAAGCCCTGCTTACACAGTAGTTTTGCTTCCATTGGTGATTCTAGCTCAAATGAACTATTACTTCAGGCATTGCAGAGTGATTTGGGACTGTTCTTAAGTCACAGCCTGCCCTCTGGCCTATGGAGAGGAACAGAAGAAGCTGTACCTCCCCATTTCTGGGTGACGTTCTGGCATGATGGCCTGAAAAACTAGAACATCTTGAGTTGGGTTAAACTGGCCAACTTGACAGTTGCTTGAGACTGGAGCAAGCAAGACTATAATTTCAAATTTCTCATTTCAGGATTTAAAATCAGACCCTCTCCTCTTTTGTGGCGATGGGGGTTGAACCCAAGGCCTCTTGCATACTGTGCAAGTGCTATACCATTGAGCCATACCCTAGCTCCACTTTTTTTGCTCTTAAAGAGAAGTTTTAAGAGACAGGGTCTTGCTGTGTTGCCCAGGCTGGCCCTGAACTCCTGGGCCCAGGTCATCCTCTTGTCTCAGCCTAGCTGGGACTACAGGCATGCATTTTCTCTTTTAATGGATTATTAAATAGGAATTCTCCTTGTGGCTGGTAAAGATCTGTTTCACCTAAGCTGGGGCCTCTGCTGGGAGTACCCTGTCTACCTGCTTATGGAGCAGAGTGAGGGAAAGGGAAAACTCCTTGCATTTAGAAGGGTTGTGTAAGGGTAGCATGCTTCCCCCAAGCAGTATGGTAGCCTGGTGAGGACACGGACAAGGAATGAGGCAGAAATTTGTGTATATTTTATTCTGATTAGTGTGGTATTTCAGTTCTAGTTTTAACATGGTTATTACAGTTTTTAGCCTTACTTGAACTATCATTGTTTTAAGCGTTTTTTACTTTTGGTTCTATTTCCTGATTCTTATATTCACTTTTCTATTTCGTTTTGTGCTACAACTATACCTTAAATATTAAGTATTGGTTAACAGACATATATCAGCTGTACCTCTTTTTTTAAGATGGATACTTTAATCCTGAGGTGGTCAAATACCGGCAGCTATGCTTCAAGTCACAGTACAAAAGATACCTCAGCTCGCAGCAGCAGTATTTCCATCGGCTTCTGAAGCATATTCTTGCTTCCCGGAGTGTAAGTAATGCTGGGAACTGGGTATAAAACGTGGCCAGTGAACTCCCGGGTGTCATGACTTCAAATAGTAGATGCAAGACATAAAAGATACTACTAAGATAAACATGCTGCTAATTAAACTATGTCTTTGTGTTTTATGATCCATTTTAAAATGTACTCTGGCCTGGTGTGGCACACGCCTGTAATCCCAACACTCAGGAGGCTGAGGCAGGAGGATTGTTATGAGTTCGAGACCAGCTTGGGCTACAAAGTGAGCTCAAGGCCAGCCTGAACTCCATAGTGAGACCTGTCTCAAAAAGAACAACCAAAAAAAATGTACTCTGATTTCAGAGGTGTTAAAACAGAAAAAGAAAGTGCTTCCTAAAAGTCTAGCATGTACAAGGCCCCAAGTTCTATCCCTAGCACAATAAGCAAACAAAAAAACCACAAAAAACTTATCCTCACAGATCTTACCGAGAAAAACAGATGGATTGGAAATCTGTTAGAGGTTATTGAGGAAAACTAGGATGCTCTGAACTGATGTTCAGGTGTGCACAGGCCTCTGAGTCCTGTGATGTTGTGGAACATAAAGCTCAGTGGCCTCTGGGTTTTTTCCAGCCTGATAATTCTTAGAAGCAGAGTGTTCTGAGTTCTTAAAGCTTCAGTAGAGAAATACAGTACTTGGTTGTCTAGTAGAGTATGTATTCCCTTTGGAGCAATTCATCATTCAGATACTGATTTTCACCATGTAATACAGGTTAAGTAGTCCTTATCTGAAATGCTTGGAACCAGAAGTGTTTCAGATTTCTGATTTTTTTCAGATTTGGGAATATTGGCTACACATGGTAAGATATCCTGGGGATGGGACCCAAGTGTAAACAAAATTTGTTTGTATTTTACTTGCATCTTATATACACAGCCTAACGGCAGTTTTATACACGTTTAGTACGTTTATATTTTGACTTCTACTTGCTAACGTGTAGTCAAGTATGGAATTTGACTGTGGTGGTATGTGGGTATCATAAATCCACGACTTACAAACATTTGAGTTATGAACTTTGACGTATAATAAATAACAGGAGCAACTTACGTGTTTGCTGGACCTTGTCACAGTTGTGCTGCTGTGTGCTTATTGCACAGTGCAGTTGTGTACAGTGGTACGGTGCTCAGTCAGAGCCCAGGATGTCCGGAAGCAGGAGGAAATGCAGTGGTGATGTGGAGGGGGCTGCTGGGGAGCACAGAGCAGTTACCATGGAAACAGGTGAAAATAACTGAGAGACAATAGTTTATTTACAGTTGTACTTTACCAACACTTTGAGGTAACTGTAAAAGTAAAAATAGTTTATTTACAGTATTTTTGTGTGTCTTTTAGGTTTCTTATGCTTTTCTTTGTGTCAAAAGTGTATAAAACTCATTTTGTCAGACTTAGGAATGAGTCTAACTTACGAATGTTCTTCTGGAGTGGAACTTGTTTGTAAGTTGGGGATTCAACTGTACTCATAAGTTCGGGATTTTAGAGCATTTCAGATTTCATATTTTTGGATAAAATATGCTTAATCTGTAAACAGTATAGGCCCTTTTTATTTGCACATAGTCATATATCTGCTGCTTTCTTTGTGATTGGAAGGGAGGGAGCTGAGTTTGTTTAGTATTGAAGAGGAAAAAGTGTAGACCTGCAGTGTACAGCTTTCCAGAGCAAGCTTTGGGGATGACACGGACCCTCCTCTGACTTTCCTAGGATCTGCTGGAGATGGCCCGCAGGAGTGGCCCAGCCCTTCCCTTCCGACAGAAACGCCCTTCACCATCCCGAAGCCCTGAGGAGCGGGAGTGGCGGACCCAGCAGCGCTACTTGAAGGTCTTGAGGGAAGTGAAGGAGGAGTGTGGTGACACAGCTCTGTCATCTGATGAAGAGGGTGAGTGTCCTTGGGTCCTTGGGGCAACTGGGTTATTGGAGCCAGAGGTAGCCACTTGCCCAAGTAGCGTCTGAGTTGTCTTGTCTGGGGGTGGAGAGTGGGACTTGTTAGCTGTGGATCTTTGAGTTCCCGAGACATTGCGTTAGGTGGGACTGACTCCATGTCCTAGTTATCCCTGTGCTCATGCAGCACTTGAGTTAGATGCAGGGCAGGATCTCTCCACAGTAGGCCTCTGGTCCCATTGTACCACTTGAGAGAACTGCTTTTCTCCTTACAGGAGAGTAGTAGTGACTGTTGGCCTGCTGCAATGCGACCCCATCACTCTGTTGAAGTCTCTCTTCCTGGAAGAGCCGTTTAAGTGACCTATGTGTGCTCCAGCCCGTCTGGGGAAGGGTCAGAAAGGATTGTGGAACCCTGGCCTCCATGTTGTTGACTTAGCCCTGTTGAACCTAAATGGCCACTTACCCAATCTCCCCTATTGGAGTCCACAGCCACGTTGGATTTACAAGAAAAATTTTCTTTTGAAGATCTCAGCTCATGGCTTCCGAGCTCTCCAGCACGTTCTCCTAGCCCTGCGGTGCCCCTGAGGGTGGTGCCCACACTTTCTACCACGGATATGAAAACTGCAGGTGAGAACCCAGCTCATGCTGCACCGTCCTGGGAAGCTGTGGTGAAGAAGTGAGAGCTCTCTTAGAGGGAGGCAGGGACTAGATTTTCACCTGCCAGAAGCAAAGCAGTGTTCTTTAGACTTAGGTGATTTGGAGTTTTTGTACCATTCCATGGTTTTACATCTACAGACGGGCCTGCCTTCTTCCTTTTTTTTAATTAGTAAATGTTTACAGTACATGATAATTGTATTCTCCTGGGGCCCGGTACATGTACATAACACATTTTAATTCTTTTTTCATCTGTTTCCCCCCTCTTCCCTCTGTTCACCTCTTGTTCCCTTTTGTATTTGAGAAAGCAGTATGTCCTTACTTCCTGTTACCTATCATTTATTTTGGACTTATTTGTATATTGGGTTTCTTATGTAAGAGAAACTATGTGATATTTAAGCTAGTGTTTGATTTACCTCACTTGGTCTCATGGAACATCCATTTCCCTACACATGACTCAAGTGTATCCTTTTTTATGGCAGAGTAGTAATCCATTGTGTTCCTTATCCATTTATCTGTTGATGGCCATAAGGCTGCTTCCAGGATTTAGCTATAATGAATTGTGCTGCTCTGAATATAGGTATGCAGGTATCACTGTAATATGATATCTTTACTCTTTCAGGAAGGTACATAGAATAGCTGAGTCAGTGGAATTTCTATTTTTAGTTTTTTGAGGTACTGATTGTACCTGCAGTGTGGACTCTTCATACGTATTGTGCCTTCTTTTTTCCCCACAGCCTCTCCAGCATTTGTTATTTGACTTCTTCAAGATAGCCATTCTTGCTGGAGTTCTGGAATCTTAGGGTTGTTTTAATTTGTATTTCTCAAGTGGCCAGTGATGTTGAATATTTTTTGTGTATTTATTTGCCATTTGTACTTCTTCATCTGAGATGTGTCTGTTCATTTCAGATGCCCCCCCACCGCTTTTTGTTTTTTTAAAGACAGGGTCTCACTATGTAGTTTAGGGTGATCATGAACTCACTGTGTAGCTCAAGCTGGCCTCAAACTCTCAGTGATCCTCCTTTCTCAGCTTTCCAAGTGCTGGGATTACAGGTGTACACCATGATGCCCAGCCAGATGCCCATTTTTTGATTAGGTCTTTAAGTTTGAGAAGGTCTAATTTTTTTGAGTTCTTTATATATTGTAGATATTAGTCCTTTGTCTGATGAGTAGTTACCAGAAATTTTTTCCCATTGTGGAGGTTGTCTGTTTATTTTGAAAATTACCCTTAGGAGCTGATCAGCTGATATTTTACACTAAAGAGCAGAATCTTAAAATAGCAATCTAGGGGAGAATTAAGTAATAGAACATAGGGGATAACTAGTGCCATAGCAGTTCCTTAGAATGCTGGTGATACTGGAAAAATAATTTGTATTTGGAATAGGAATGAAAGGACAGTGTCAGCAAACTGCACTGTGTATTCAGACCAGCTGAGTAACTGAGTAATTTATTGGTGTATACAAAAGTGGAAGTCCTGACCCCATGACTGAAGATTTTTGGTGCTTTTAGTACCCAGGACTTGGAAGGGAAACTCAAGAGTATCTTGCGTAAGAATGTCACAAGTGACCAAGAAGATTTAAAGTAGAGCATCCCTGCAGTGAATGACCTAGTCCATGTGGTTTGGTTCATTTTCTCTCAGATAAAATAGAACTTGGGGACAATGACCTGAAGATAATGTTAAAGAAGCACCATGAGAAGCGAAAACATCAACCAGTAAGATTGGGATGGGTGTGGCCACTCATGGATTGAATGTCATGTCTGTTTCTTGGCTATCCTGGGTGAGGTACTAGTTATCCCCACCTCACTTAAGGTTTCTTGTTATTATTGTTAGGGTCAGGAGTGACACAGGCTAGTTAGCATTAAAGATAGAAGCCAAGAAATGCATGGGATTTATAAGGCCTGCTCAACAGTGTCTGGTTCAGTCTTTTCTGTGCCACTTGTTGGTGTATGAGTGCATTGTGGTTTCTTTGTTAGCGGTGCTCAGAGAGCTGAAGGAGCTTGCCCGTAGTTCTGTTACTAGTAAATGCAAGGACCAAGAATTGACCCTGTGCTCTTCCCTCTTTGTACTTGTTCTTTTATCCCACACAACTGAATTGAGGTGCCCCCAAGCCAGAGAGTAGAGTGGAGAAAGGGCACTCCATCCAAGGCAGAACAGCAAGGTGGGGAGAGTCCCACAGTGGGACTGAGCTGAGTTTTCTCCATCTTTTCTAGTCTGTACAGTATTGCACAGTTCTTTTAACTTCTTTGATTCTTAGACTTTGTAAAATAGAACAGAATTAGCCTGAAGAGCCTGTGAGATAAGGAATGCCGAAGAGCTGTGTGAAGTGTAAACGCCATACAGCAGGGGCTTGAACTGGGTTCTCCTGTGGACCATGATGATGAACAGTAGTCTTATTTCTGCAGTTTTGTAATTCAGCAAGCTTCCTCAGGAGTACCTGGCAGGCATATCTGTTAGGTAATTTGGCAGTCATCATTAGTCTGCTCCTTTTGGCCTCCATAACCAAGTCTCTGACTCTCACATCTAGGATCACCCGGACCTTTTGACAGGGGACCTGACCCTCAGTGACATCATGACCCGAGTAAATGCTGGCAAGAAGGGCTCTCTAGCAGGTAAACAGAAAGACGGTTGGTCATGTCTAAGTAGCCTTCACTCTGCTGTTAAATGTTATGAGGCTGCCTCCATCTAGCTAAAGTAGGTGAAACCTTAGTCTCCATGCTGATCACCTTTGTTTTTTTAGTGCCTTTATTAATTTAAAGTTAGTGCAGCCTAATGATTGTAACATCATTAGATGTTAAACTGGAACTGTAAATCACTTATTGAGTTAGGTGAAAATATCTGTATGTCTGGCCAGGTGTGGTGGTGCATACCTTTAATCCTAGCACACGGGGCTGAGGCAGAAGAATTGCCCAAAGTTCAAGGCCAACCTGTATTACACAGCAAAACCCTATTTCAAAATTAAAAAAAAAAAATCTATATGTCTTATTATGAGACGTTTCTGTATTTGGTGGGCTTTGGGAAATTGTATGCAAGTAAGACCCCTTACCTCCTGACTAGAAAATGTAGTTTTGTGACTTGTGTTTTTTTCTACTTCCCAGCCTTATATGACTTGGCTGTCCTTAAAAAAAAAGCAAAGGAAAAAGAGGAAAGGAAGAAGAAGAAAATAAAGCTGATCAAATCTGAGGCGGAGGATTTGGCTGAGCCTCTGAGCAGTACTGAAGGGGTTCCATCTCTCTCGCAGGCCCCGTCTCCACTAGCAATACCTGCTATAAAGGAAGAGTAAGTGAGCAGCAGAGATTGCAGGGGTGGGTGGGTCCGTGCAGGGTTGTCAGTTCCTGGGGCTGTGTGAGCTGGCTGTGAGTGTGTTGAACCTGCCAGTGCTGCCAGGGACCAGGTAGGAAAATGTGTTGTGTACCCCTTTCTTGTGACTGTACGCCTCAGAGGCCTTGAACTAACCTACAATGTGTTCTTCGTCTTTTTAGTTGTTCTTGTGTTTTCTTCCCCCCACAGGCCCCTAGAAGACCTCAAGCCTTGCCTTGGAATCAATGAGATATCTTCTAGTTTTTTTTCTCTTCTGTTAGAGATCTTGCTGCTGGAGAATCAGACTAGCCTTCCTATGGTAAGAGCTTTGAAAAAGTCACTTGTACATCGAAGGTTTGAAATTGTCACAAGTTTTGATGGTCACTAGCTTTAGAAGCAGCTCTGTAGAGTCCAGGCTTCACAGCTGACTTGCTTTGGGACTGGAGCAAACCAGATAATGCACCCAGCTTGCTTGCCGGGATGCTGATGTTGGAAAGAAATCTCACTGGGTCCCGCCTTTCCTCTCCCTCAGCTGGAGGAGCGCATTTTGGACTGGCAGTCATCTCCAGCCAGTTCCCTCAACAGCTGGTTTTCTGCGGCTCCCAACTGGGCTGAGTTGGTGTTGCCTGCCCTACAGTATCTTGCTGGAGAAAGCCGAGGTAAAGAGTTTTTATTTTGGAAGATTGCTGTGGTTTTCTTCTTTTGCTTAGTTCTTAACAGTAAATGGCAGCCGTGTTCATTTGGACTGTTGTACCTTTGTGTTTTGCCCTGTCTCTCCTACCCTTGATGTCTCTCCACTCCTGATACACCGTGAAATACTGAGAATCTAGCCTAGAGCTGTGGGCTACTCTGAGCTTAGCACTCCGTGACCTATGTGACTTGTACATGTGATCTCTTTGTTGCAGCTGTTCCTTCCAGTTTCTCTCCATTTGTTGAATTCAAAGAGAAAACCCAGCAGTGGAAATTGCTTGGTAAGTAATTCACATTACTAGCTAGTCCTTCGCTAAGCTGCTTTTGCCTTCTAGTCAGTGCCTTCTAGGAGATTGGCAAGAAAGGAAATATTAGACCTCACTTTTCTCTGCGGAGGAATTCTTCAAGACATTTTGTATCTTTTTCGGTACAGTCTTCATCCCACACCCTCCCCACATGCTCCCTAAGCTGAAGTGGAATTGCCTTTCTGCTGTGCTGCAGCCTGCAGGGCTATTTTATAATAGTGTTAGAATTTGTATTAATCACACCAGTGGTTTTAGATTGATTTGTAATACAGTTACTTTTCTTTACTGAAAATGGGACTTGCTATTGAGGATATTGAACAGTGCCACATAAGCTATTTTTAAAGAAGAGGGTCCTTATTTTTGTTTTAAATTTATAAGGCCTTGCTTAGAGTGTTAGTTATAACATGCGTCTAAAATAAGATGGAAAGCAGTATTGGTTTTATACTGAAATTAACAGATACCGAACCTGTGGCTACAGAGTGCCAACTGTATGTAGTAAAGGACACAGTCGAGGCTGTCCATCACCTAGAGAGAGAGTCAGGTGGGAGAAAAGGGGGTGAGAGCTAAGCCTTGAGAAACTCCATGGGAGAGGCAGCAGAATGCAGCGCATGTGCAAGGAGGGACTGCAGAGACAGGAGGAAAGCCCAGAGGTGGTTGGCTCTTCGAAGCCAAATGATTTTGAGTCAAAGAAGTGGGTAGCAGTTACCGGCTTTCATTGTTCCTGAAAAGTTCAGTAAGATAAAGATAAGCTTTGTTGACATGGAGTAAAGGGCATGTGTGAGACCAGGATCTCATTCTTTTTTGTTGTTGTTTGGTACCAGGAATTGAACTTACAACCTCAGGCTTGCCAGGCAGGCACTGTGCCTCTGGACTATATCCCTTTCCCAAGGGCTTCACTCTTGCTAGCTGAGTGCTCTACCATTGAGCTGCTTCCCCAGCGGCCGTTAAATTTTATTTTGAGATGTAAATTCACTGGGTTGCCCAGCCTGGCCTTGAATTTGTGATCCTCCTGCCTCAGCTTCTTGAATAACTGAGATTATAGGTGTGCACTATCATGCTTGGCTCTTCGTGGATTTTTAATTAAGAGTAACTCCTTTTCGGAAGGATGATGCCTGAGGACAGCATGAAAGGCAGGTCACTCATACTGGCTGTGCACATTGACCATCTGACTGGTGGCCGGAGCTGGTCACGGTGAGAGTACTTGCATCAGGTTGGCACACTGGTTCTTTTAGGATCAGGTACAAGTATTTGAAGCCCATGTGGACTAGATTTTTCCTGTTAGTGGTGCTCAACTCTGCCTTGTAATGTGGAGCAGACAGGCAGTAGGCAGATGAACAGGTAGGGCTGTGCGCTATAAAACTAAAAGACAGGTGGTGAGTTTGCTGCCCCTCGCGTACACCATGGAAGTCTGCAGCTCAGTTAGTCAAGGCTCCTTTTCCCTGGTGCCACTTGACTGTGTCTGGCACACAACTGGTTAAAGAGCCAGCGAATCTAAACAGCTCTTTCCAGAAGTTTAGCTAGAGGAGGGACGAATAGTAAGATTACTGTGGCCAAGAGAGGAAGCATTCAAAATGGGTGACTGTAAGTGTTGTCGGGAGGGCTGTGTTTGGAATGGGAAGTTGAAGATGCAGGAGAGGAGCGGGGAGGCATCATCACGTTCACCCAGGGTTGGCGCTGCATGGCAGGGAGCAGTGCAGAAACGGTGGGTACGCAGCAGTGGGCTTGTTAGTCTCCTGTGGGAGATTTGGTCTGCGGATTATCCAGTGTGGAGTAGGAGGTGGGAGGGTGAGAAGGGAGGTTTGAAGAAGGTAGGGAGTCCCTCCCAGGAGCATACAGAGCAGAGTGACTGGTGACAGTGTTGGGATGGGCATGCAGCTGTCACGGTGAGCTGCTTATCATTGACCTGTCCTGGTACTCCGCCTCTTCGTGTGCTTTTTTTCACTCAGGGATCCCTCAGCAGCCCAATTGGAACCATAGAGAATGAGTTTGAATTTTGCCAGGTGGGAATGTGTAAAGGTCAAAGGGCAGAGGTAAAGTTACTACTCTGTTGGGAAGTGCATTATTGGAATGATGGTCTTGGAATCTGAGTACTTTAGACGCCTTGTATAAACAAGATTGTACAGTCTTTGTTCTGGGAGCCTTAACAGAGGCTCACCCATATTGTTGGAGATGGTAGGATTTCCTCTCTTCTAAGGTGAGTAATAGTCCATCTTATTTTCTTTATCCATTCATTCACTGATGGACATTTAGGTTGTTTTTGCATCTTGGGGTCTTAGTTACTTTCTTGCTGGGACAGAATACCCAACATTCACAAGTTAAAGGAGGAGAGCTTTATTTTGGCTTACAGTTTGTGGGGGTTTCAGTCCATGGTCGGCAGGTTCCAAGGCTGGGTGGCGTGGCAGAGGAGAAACATGTCATGGTGTGGCCACAGGAGGAGGGAAGGAGATAAGACCCTTCCAGGCAATACCTCAGTAACCCACCTCCTCTAACCAGTCTTCACCTCCCAGCATTACGTTTAGCTGTACCCTCACCAGTGGACTAACCACTGTGAGTATCCCGTACCCTGATCCACTCACCTCCCTAAAGCCCTGCTAAGCAGTGAATGGACTGCATGTGCTTTTTTCTGGGCTGTTTTGGAACAGGTTTTTGATTTTATTTGGTTTTCTAGAACTGGGGAGAAATACAGTATCTGAAGCCCTCTCTAGAGGGTAGGAGAAGCTTATCTCTGTCTCCTGACTATAGGATATGGCTGTGAGGAAATGAACAGCCAGCACCCTCAGGAGTCAGGATCAGGGAGAACTGGATTTCATACCAAACAGTAATAGAGGAGGGTCAGGAGAAGATGATTAGGCTGCGGAGGAATTAATTGGTTGTGAAGCAGCATTTCCAGAAGCATAGTGGAGCGGGGAGGGTAGTCCTGAGGTAAGAAGCAGAAAAGTAGTGGTTCTGGGATTCGACTGGCACTGGTGGTATGTGTTGGCTGGTGGAGTGAAGGGAAGCGTCCCGGAGAGTGTGGTGTTAGTACCTCTCGGGAAGTGCAGCTAGCTGTGTTCTCACACAAGCAAGTGTAGGTAGTGGTATCCGGAGCTGCCTTTTAGTGTGGGCAGGAATGCGAAGAGCTGCAGTAGGGGTCCAAACATTGTGACATGGGAGGAGGACGTGGGGGGCTTTCATCTCAAGGTGGAGTCAAGCTCTTTCCTTACTCCAGTCTTCTGGCTGCTTTGGCAGTGTGCAGGGTGCCCAAGACCCCCACTAGCCAGGAGATGGGCTAACCTTCCTGAGGCAGGCAGTCAGGATTCCCTCTGTGACTCCTACCACTTTTAGAATTTGTTTTAATAAGTGCTTTTTCTTCACTTGCTGCTACACTCCATGAGGCAGAATGCACAGATGACTCCAGCACTAGTGGCCAGTCAGTAAATGTACTTACTGAGGGAGCGATTTAATTAAGTGACATCCAGGAATGGTGGTTCAGACAGCCAGTGGATTTGCAGTGTGTTGCTGCAGGGCCTGATACAGTCTCCCTGGCATGCATAGAGCCGGTAAGGAGAAGGTGGGATTCTGAATAACACCTTAGATCTTTTTGGCTTTTTATCTCTCCTTCCCCCCAGGTCAGTCCCAGGATAACGAGAAGGAGTTAGCTGCACTGTTCCAGCTGTGGCTAGAGACAAAAGACCAGGCCTTCTGTAAGGTGTGATTTTTGAAATAACAGCTCTTGCTCGTTGGGTTACCAGAGCCCTCAAATCATTGAAATTGTTTAGTTCATTTACCTATTAACATTTTCCTTTTCTTCAGCAAGAAAATGAAGACAGCTCAGATGCCACAACCCCTGTTCCTCGGGTGTGAGTATAATACCGTAGTGGTGGGTGGTTTCCTGGGAAGCTGTGGTTTATAGTCTTGCCATGGTTCTGCTGACTTGTCTTAGTGTGTTAGAGCTGTAACGTACCCTAGGGCTCCTAAGAGGCTGTTCGTTCTCACCTGCCTCAGCCTAGCTTTGGAGGGCAGTACACGCTCCTTGTAGAATGTGCTGATTGAGGGAGGGGATTGTGCAGTAGGGTCTCAGAGGGGTGATGATCTGCCTTACAGTAGTCATACTGTTTTCCATGTGCACACCTCGTGGGATCCCATTGAGAATAGTTCATCTAGTCTGGCTACTACAAAGGAACTGGGTAATGAGGTTGTATGAAGGTTGGTGACAGGACCTCTGCTAGTTTATGTCCCTTGACATCTAGTCTTTGGTTATTTATATCATGTTTTCTCATGTTGATGTTTCCTGTCTGGTGTGGTTCTGAATTAGGTTTTTATTTTTTTGCAGTACTAGGGATCAAATGCAGGGCCCTGTGCATGCTAGGCAAGTGCTCTACCACTGAGGCATCCCCCCTGCAGTTAGACTTTTGGAACTCCAGCACAGAGACCCAAGTGTGTCAAAATGTGTTGTTCACGTAGTAGGGAGGAGTAATTTCCTTAGGAGGCAGGAAAGATAACCCCTGTAATCTGTGATGCTCGAAGTCCCTTGTTCCCTAGGACTGAATTTTTTGCCATTAGGTTGGGCTTACTTAGCAGCAGTACTGAAAATGCTAGGTAAAGATGTCTTTCTGACCTATGCAGTATTTTTTCTGGATTTCTAAGAATCCAGTAATATTGGAAATATCAACAGGAATTGCTTGGTAGGACCTAGACAGTGGACTTGGCAGTAGCTGCGAGGAGAATGATTCTGTGTGCCAGAGCAGGTGGCAGGTCTGTGGCCCTCTGGCAGCTCTCAGAGTTGATGGAAATTCTTTCTGTGTTCCAGGAGAACTGACTATGTGGTGCGGCCCAGCACAGGCGAGGAGAAGCGGGTGTTTCAGGAGCAGGTAAGGAACTCCTAAAAGGAGTGTAAGGCTTGGTGTCCATGAGGTTGTGCAGAGGGAGGTGTGAGCTCACTGTCCTTGAGTCCACCTGGAGGAAGGTCAGCCTCACCTCAGACATCCTGTTGCTTGTTGGTTAGACATCTGATTCTTGTCGAAGGCAGAAGTGGTGTGAGGGTGGAAGTGATGTGCAGAAAGGGAAGAGAACCATGTTGATGATCTTTCAGCAACATGCATTTTATTTCCTTGTCCTTTGCCAGTGGCTGTGGAAGGTCATCCTTTTCCCACTGGGGTTTCCTCCTTGTGTTAATCTCTCCTCATGGATCCCCTTATTATACAGGAGCTCTAAGGAGAAGCCCACTCATTCTGAGTCATGAGCCTTCTCTCTTCTTGGTAGGAGCGTTACAGGTACAGCCAGCCCCACAAGGCGTTCACCTTTCGCATGCATGGATTCGAATCTGTGGTGGGCCCAGTGAAGGGTGTGTTTGACAAGGAGACCTCCCTCAACAAGGCCCGTGAGCACTCCCTGCTGCGCTCGGACCGGCCGGCCTATGTCACCATCCTGTCTCTTGGTATGTGTATCTGTTATCAAGGACTTATTTTTTCACCCTGTAGCTTTTCTTGTGTGGGAAGTACTGGGAATTGAACTCAGAACCTCACGTTTTCTAGGGCAGGTGCTGCACCACTGAGCTGTATCCCAGTCCCCTTACCCTCTGTCTTTTCTCAGGACAACTCTGTCCTCTCCTCACAAACTCACTCCCCTCCTTACCTCCTTCACCCGGGTCAGGCTTATTACTACTTAGAAGCTTTGGAGTGTGAGAGATGAAATGGGGATTCTGGCCCTAGAGGTTGATGGCAAGAGTTGGTGTTTCTTCCTGAAGTTAGGCTCATGTTTATGTTTATTGAGGAATTTCTCACAAGCCAGCTAAACAGAGTAAGTGGTAGGGGTTTGCTTCTACAATGATTTTTAGGTACCATGAATCCCTTTGGCCATCAGGCAAAACCTGTGGATCCCTTCGAAGAGTTACACTTTTAAAGGCATAAAACAAAGTGTCTAGAGCTTTAGAGGAAGTCCTTTGTGTAGAAAAACCTATCACGATGTTAAAAAAAAATTTATATGCAAAAATAAGTTTTTGTTATGATAGTAAATGACAAGATTGCACAGCAGGTCTTAGAACTTCTGTAACTTCCAAATGGGGATGAATGTAAATTATATTTTGAGTGGTCTTCAGTACCTATAAAATACGAAAGTATGAGTTGTGGTACAGTCCCAGCATGGCCATTACATAGTTTACAACCTTTGTTCATAATTGAAGGAAGTGCTAAATTTCAGTGAAAGATGTCGCATTTTTATTTCCCAAGTTCGTGGACCCCACTGAGTGCCAGGGAGTCTGTTGCCCTTCAGTCTTGCCTGACTGAAGAGTGTAAGAAACTCGAGGGGCAGACTGCTGGCCACTAGGGGGCATGTGTTCCTGACGCTGATGGGAGGCTGAGCAACAGGAACCACAGGCAGCAGCGCCCCAGCACGGGTTGGGCTGTTATTCCTCAGCAGAACTGTGACCTGACTCCTGGACTTTGCTTTTTGGTGCCATCAGTTCGGGATGCCGCTGCTCGCCTGCCTAATGGAGAAGGCACACGGGCAGAGATCTGTGAGCTGCTCAAGGATTCTCAGTTTCTTGCTCCAGATGTCACTAGCACTCAGGTAGGCTGGAGAAACAGCTTTGAACTGTTTGTTTCAGAATGGATTTAAGAAAACTCACCAGGAAATGGATCACTTTTTTCTTTTGTGCTGAACCTCAACTCTAGGGCCTTACGCATGCCTGGCAGCACTGTACCAGTGAGCTGCATGTTCCCCACAGCTGCAGATGCTAATGAAAAATTTTTTTTTTTAAACGTGGAGAGAGGGATTTGAGATGGACTTGCTGTGCAGCCCAGGCTGGTCTTGAACTCACGATTCTCCTACTTCATCCTTCCGAACCCTTAGATCACAAGTGTTTGTGCCACACACAACATAAACTTTTTTTTGGAACTAAGAATTGAACTCAACCTTGCACTTGCCAGGCAGGCGCTGTGCTGCTGAGCTACATCCCCAGCCCCTCAACATAAATTTTTAAACAACTGAAAAAACTAGATGTGTTGCTGTGTGCGGTGTAATCAAGCTCGAGAGGCTGGGGCAGGATGATCACAAGCTCATGGCTGGCCTGAGAACAGAGTGAGAACCCTCCTCAAACAAATAAAAAGTGACAAAACGAAAAAGAAGGAAAGGACATCTTGAAATACGCAGATAGTGATGGCCAAAAACTTGCTGTCAGTGAAGCACAAATTTGACTGTAACCTTTCCTTCAGCTTATAGTACGGGAAAGACTGCTGCAGTTACTGAGTTCATTTCATCCTTCCAGTAGGAGCAGATCAGTATCTTAGCAGTCTTACAGCATATTTTGTCTGGCCAAGTGCTTTGGTGAGCCATTGGGAGGACACAGCCGGGCTGAAATAGATCAGTCGCTTTGATCCGGTGGTTTTTCTCTGTAGTCCAAACAAGTTCCGTTACTTAGTTCTGACTTGTCCCTTGCTTCCCTCTGCCCCGATCTTAGGTGAACACAGTAGTGAGTGGTGCACTGGATCGCCTACATTATGAAAAAGACCCTTGTGTGAAATATGATATTGGACGAAAGCTGTGGATCTACTTGCATCGCGACCGGAGTGAGGAAGAGTTTGGTACGTGAGGCCTGTGATCAGTGTGTCCAGCTAGACTAGGGGTGCTTCTGACTTTCCTGGCTCCATTATCCTTCTCATTGGCATTTGGGCAGGAGATTTATGGAGGCAGGATGCAGTCCAGCAGTGAGGCTGACAGCAAGGCCTTGGTTTTTAAAGAAGCCCCTCTCTTCAGTATGTCATGGTCAAAGTCTTGTTGAAGTTACCACTCTTATTCACAGAGCGGATTCACCAAGCCCAAGCAGCTGCAGCTAAAGCCAGAAAAGCTCTTCAGCAAAAACCCAAGCCCCCTTCCAAGGTGGTGAGTGACCTCATGTGAACATCGGCCTGAGGAATTCGGGTGGAACAGCTGGATGCATGCGTGGCTTTCACTTAGCTCTGTGCGTCAGGGGCCATAGGGCCCATGGTCTTGAGATACCTATGGTGACTTCCTTCTTCCTTCTAGAAGTCCAGTAACAAGGAGAGTTCCATGAAGGTCCTCAGCAGTGGCACTTCTGAGCAGAGCCAGATGAGCCTTAGTGACTCCAGCATGCCACCCACCCCAGTTACTCCTGTAACCCCCACCACACCAGCGTTGCCCGCTACACCCATCTCCCCTCCACCTGTGTCGTCAGTGAACAAAAGTGGTCCTACCACTGTCTCTGAACCAGCGAAGTCCAACTCAGGGTAAGTGCCCTGTTTCTTCTCTAGCTTTTTCCTAGAGTCCTTTTTTGTTCTTCTCCTAAGTTTTTGGTATTGCTTTTTCCCTGATTTTCCTCATAGGGTTCTTCTGGTGTCCTCACCAACAATGCCACAGTTAGGAACAATGCTTTCCCCAGCTTCCAGCCAGACTCCGCCCAGTTCTCAGGCTACTGCTCGGGTTGTGAGCCACTCTGGCTCTGCTGGGCTCCCCCAGGTACGAGTGGTGGCCCAGCCCAGCCTTCCTGCCGTCCCTCAGCAGCCAGCAGGGCCAGCACCGACATTGCCACAGATGCCAGCAGGACCGCAGATCCGGGTGCCAGCCACTGCCACACAGACCAAAGTAGTGCCCCAGGTAAACAGGGAAGCTCAGGTCATTGGGAACAGGGGCAGTGCACCCCAGGGTCGGCTGATGAGTCAGGAGGCAGCGTTGGGAAAGAATGGAGAAGCTAGGTTGTTGCTGTTGCTGATGAAGTTCACTAAAATAATTCATTAATGTTCAAAGTTGGTTAAGCACTTACTCTTTTTGACATCTTGAAATCAGACCTTCTAAGCAGTTTAGTGATTTACTTGGGATTCTAATAGAAGAAGCCTCGTAGAGGTGGAATGTGAATTCAAACCTGTGAGTCTCAGTCTTAGCCTTCTTCCATTGTCTTTAGCCATGCCAGTGGCTGGTTGTATGATTTTTCAGCATTGTGAGCCTCAGGCAGTGTGAGGAGCCCTTCCTGGGGCTGACGCATGGGAGACCCTGTTGAAGTACTGGTCTCCATCTCACTGTCTAATCGAGCATTTGATCTCATGCCCTGAACTAGGCCGTCATGGCCACTGTTCCAGTCAAAGCACAGACTGCAGCAGCCACTGTGCAGCGGCCTGGCCCTGGGCAGACGGGGCTCACAGTGACAAGTCTCCCAGCAGCAGCCAGCCCTGTGAGCAAGCCAGCCGCGAGTTCTCCTGGAAGCTCCGCTCCAAGTGCCTCCACAACTGCTGTCATTCAAAACGTCACAGGGCAGAACATCATCAAGCAGGTGGGTAGGCTTGATGGTTGTGTCCTAAAGCTGAGGGTCTGTGGGTGTGAGCTTCCTGAAGTGATTGCATGCCTGTGGAGAAAAGGTTTATTATCTTTGACCCTTAGGATTGAGTTCCCATCCAGGGCAGTGCAGCCTTTGTGGCTGCCCAAGAGATTCCTTCTGTTTCCATGTAATTCACCATTTGGTAGTTGAATTTCTGGATTTAAAGTTGCTGCTTCATAAACTTATTAAGTTAAATTCCTATGGCCATATTTTATTGGCCTTTCAGTTTATCGCTACTAATGGTCAGAGGCATTGGAGCTTTCCTGGTTGTGAATGTGAAAGGATAACTATTGCATGTCAAAGAATTTTCAGGCAGACTAGCATTTAGTACTAAGAGAAGTGCCTTCATTGAACTGTGTGTGTGTAGATGTGAGACAGTCTCAGCACTATGGATAGACACTTTCATTACACCCATTTATAGATGAGGAAGTGGAGCCACATAGTGATGATCTAACCTTTCATTCAATATCTTCATTTCCTTTTGTGTGGCAGGCACTGTGCTAAGGACTGGGGAGTGCGTGGTGTATTAGTAGACTAAGCCCCTGCCTTCAGGAAACTCAAGTTCTCCCAGGGCGCAGAGACAGATAACTACATCAAGCAGCAGCCACCTGTTTGGGGGCAGTGAAGGTGTGGTGAGATGAGACTCACCATATGTTACTCTTGAGTGGACACAGCTGAACTGTGGGTTTGTGGGTTTTTTGAAAATGGGCTCCAAAGAGTGTAAGGTGAGAAAGCAGAGACAGTGAGGAGAGGTGATTTTTAGAGGAATTTTGCTTCTAAAATGCAGAGAATTGCGCTGGAGTGGAATGTGGGTGGGAGTGGACTAAGGGAGGGAGAGGTGGGGTGGAGCCACTGTGAACTGGCTTGTTGGCACCTCTGGCAGAGGAGCAGCACAGGGACCACAGAGAGGAAGCCCTGAACAGGCTGGGGCCTGACCCATTACTCCTGGGGGATTGGGCTTCTGTGGAAGTTGGTATTTGAGAGCAGGAAGTCTGGTCCCAGAGCTCCTGCTTGTAGCCATCCGGCTGCACTGCTGCTGTCAACATGGAGACGGCCCAACCCTGAGTAGACACGTTAGAGGTATATGTATAAGCTTTGAGTGGTAAAGTGATAAATCTTGGTTTTACTGTGTTTTCCCCAAGATAAGGCTGATTCTTACATTTTTTTGGCTCCAAAAGATACAATAGGGCTTATTTTCAGGGCACCAAAATTCAGAAAACATTTATTTCACATGAAGGTATTAAGTATGTCTATTACAACACAGTATGTATTGAATTAGGAAGATTTGTGTTAGGTACAGCTATGTCTGTTTTTAATCAAGTGTGCATGTTATTTGTGTGTTGTGTCTGTATCCGATTGGTCATTTGGCAGTGTCTCTGGTTCATCTGTTATATAGGCATTTACTGCTCGTCCAAAGGTGCCTGCTTGAATATTTACAAATAATTATAATTTATACTATCATTTAAGTATTAATACCAGTAATAATTTTTTATATTTAATTATATATTAATATTATAAAGACTCATTTGTTGTGTGTTGCAGTGGATGTACTAAATGCATGTGTTTGGCGATCTTAGCTGGGTCTTGGGGATTACATTTTGAGCATCCTGACATGTCATTCTAGGGCTTATTTTCCAGTGAAGTCTTATTTCTGGGGAAATGTGGAACCTAAAGTATTCCAGTATAGATGTGGCTCAGTGCTGAGGTCTTAGATTTAATCCCTAGCACCCTTTCTCCTTAAAAACCCCCACAACATTCCAGTCTCCTACTCCTTCCTCCCAGAAGTGGAGGAAGATAAAGACTCATGAGGTGATTATTTCTGATGCTGGGTAAAGGATGTAGGCTTGTTACATTTTTCTCTGTTTCTGTGCATGTTTACCATTTTTCAAAGTAAACATTTAAACTATATGGAGATTTGGCTGTGTAACCAGTTAGTGTCATGAATCCTTTTATCAGTGGGTGTTTCCCCCATCTAGGTGGCTATCACTGGGCAGCTTGGTGTGAAGCCCCAGACGGGCAACAGCATTCCACTCACAGCCACTAACTTCCGTATCCAGGGTAAGGATGTGCTGCGGCTGCCTCCCTCTTCTATCACCACAGATGCTAAGGGCCAGACGGTTCTGCGAATCACTCCGGACATGATGGCCACGTTGGCCAAGTCCCAGGTTACCACTGTCAAATTGACCCAGGATCTCTTCGGGACAGGAAGTGGCACTGCAGGCAAAGGCATCTCTGCTACCCTACATGTCACCTCCAACCCCGTGCATGCTGCCGAAAGCCCTGCCAAGGCCAGCTCTGCCAGTGCGCCTACATCTGCCCCAGCAGCTACCACCGTGGTCAAAGTGACACCTGACCTCAAGCCGACAGAAACCTCGAGTTCAGCTTTTCGCTTGATGCCAGCCCTTGGTGTAAGCGTGGCAGATCAGAAAGGAAAAAACACAGTGGCCTCCTCAGAAGCAAAACCGGCTGCCACCATCCGCATCGTGCAGGGCCTGGGTGTGATGCCTCCCAAAGCAGGCCAGACCATCACTGTTGCGACCCATGCCAAGCCAGGGGCCTCGGTAGCCAGTGGGTCTGGAACTGTCCATTCTTCAACTGTGTCTTTGCCTAGTATGAGTGCTGCCATGTCCAAGACTGTGGCTGTGGCTTCTGGGGCCGCAAGCACCCCCATCAGCATCGGGACAGGAGCCCCCACTGTGCGGCAAGTCCCAGTCAGCACCACAGTTGTGTCCACGTCCCAGGCTGTGAGTAGCATCCGTGGTAAAGAGCAGCCCTCTGCTCAGGAAACGTCTCTATAGGAATGGAAGTAGAAACCCTGTCTGTATCAGCTCATTTGACCCAAATAGATTTACTTACTGGTAGACTTTGTTGTTTTCTTTTGAAGCTTATAAAACTTACAGATGCATAGTATATGTATACAATTTTATAAAATATTAAAGAATAGTGCTGAAAGCACAGAGTAAAATATAAAGTTTCTTCCACTGCTCCTCCAGTTCTCCCTTCATAAGGGCAAATCATTGTTGCTAATGTGGCATTTATCCTTCTGATCCTTTTCCTGAGTATTTTCATTTGTATACACATAGTTTAAAGAAAACAAAACCAAACCATGAGGCTTCTGAGACCTCCATCCATCCATATAAAGTTGCTTGCTTGCTTGCTTACTTTTTTAAAAAAGGTCTTGGGGATTATTCTAGGCAATACACAGACATTGTGTTCTTTTTAATACAGCAATCCATAGAATGGGTTGTGTTGCATGCGACCAAGGCCACCGTGAATGCTCTTGTACATGTGCTTGAAGTATTTCTGAAGTAGAGATTGATGGTTAGGAGGAGTCATGAAGGTGCATGTATTGATGCTTACATGCTCTAGTTGCACTAGCACACAGGCCACATCAGCGTACATTTCCATCAGCAGGCCCGCTGTCTTCCTTGGACCTTAGTCAGCTGAGTGGAAAGCACTTACTGGTGGAAGGCAGTGTTGCTTTCTGATCACTAGTGAGGTTGAGCATCCATTCATGTGAAGATTGGTCTGTTCTCTCTAGTGATGTATAGATCATGGCTAGACTTGCAGTATTTGGCTTTTTCATATTGTTGAAGGTGGCCGTTTATAATTGTATATGTAAGAAATGTTTTCTTCTGGTCTGTCCTCTTTTTTTTTTTTTTTTTTTGGCAATGCTGATAAAGGAGGACACATTAGTAAAGTAAGCAAACCAGTAACCCTAACAGTGTGGTTTAAAAGAACATTGTTTAGCTTTCTATATCACACCTGAAGAAGTAAGGAAGCAAGGAAACTGCTTCCCTACTGCCCCTCTCTCCCCCCTCTTAAACCCTCCTAACATGAAGGTCTGCAGTGGGGTGTCCTTATTACCTTCAGTCAGGGTAGACACAACTGGAGAGTATTTGGTAGGGCAGGAAGTAGTAGGCAGTACCTTTAGTTCTAATTACTATACTGCTGATCTGAGATGCTGTAAGCACCCTTCAGAAGGAAATAAAGTCATGAGTGAATCCCTATGGAAGCAGCATCTTATGGTGTTTGCCTGCTGCCATCTGGAGTGGGTTAGAGATTGTGAGTATGCTCGGCAGAGGTGGCATGCTGCCCTGTCAGTGCCTGGCCACTTCAGAATTAGTCTTCTCCACGCCTTTTCCAGGTTAATGTATAAATGTAGTAAAACACTGGGCTTGGAATAAGTTCAGTGGCAGAGCCCTTGCCTAGCATGTCTGAAACCTGGGGTTTGTTCTCCAGCACCATGAATAAAAACCAACCAAGCAGTCAAGTGTTAGAAATGAGGCAGCCTAAGAACAGGTGGTGGGAACAGTGACCATCTCAGTATTCCTGAAACCCCTAAGATTCTCTTTTTCTCCTTGTCGTCATCCTCTTTGTGGTTCTTCTCATGCCTTCTTGACTTTGAGGTTGCCCTTTTCTCTGGATTGACTTTATTATTAGTGTTCCCAAGCTAACCTTTCCTGTGTGTGGGAGAAACAGAAAGCACCTGGAGAGTGTGGCTTGTTCCACCTCTGTGTGCTCTGTGGTTCTCCCCCACTGAGCCTGCATTCCAGAGATGGGGGGGCTCTGCACTTCCTGGGTTAACTCCAGAACACCCCATCCTTCCTCATGTTTGTTTCACCACAGTCTCTGTGTTGGGAGCACCAAGGTGTGTAGGCTGCCTTTCGGGCTCAGAATCTAGGCATATGCATAAGTGAATACACACTTGCCTTTGTGCTTGAGGTACAGGTTTTATCCTAATGAAAACAGATAAGTTGCTGCCCTTGAGACAGCATGAAAGAAGATGCTGCCAGGTCAGTTGACATCTCAGTGGCAGGTGAACTGTTTTGTAGGGCTGCCTAGGTCTATATTCCTGGTAGGGACTAAAAATGTCTATAGTGCATGCTCCTCCTTTGTCCTCTCTAGGTGACACTTGGTGGTTTTCCTCATCTCCTGCTATGCCACTGAAACTGATTGCGCTTTCTTTGTAGGGGAAGCTGCCTACTCGGATCACAGTCCCGCTCTCTGTGATTAGCCAGCCGATGAAGGGCAAGAGTGTGGTCACAGCCCCCATCATCAAAGGCAACCTTGGAGCCAAGTGAGCGCTATTTGTAGGGAAGGGCCCAGCTTGGCAGGGCCTAGGGTGCTTTTAACAAGGGAAATTTGTGTGGTGTTTTTGCTTTCTCCCCTGCCCTTGCCAGGGTCTCTCTTCCTTTCTGAGCTCATTAGTAATATTTATTGAACTCCTAGTATTGTGCAGGCTGACATTGTAGAGCAGGGAGAGGAATTATAAAAAAGTAATATATTAAGTGGTAGAAAGGCAAAAAAGGGGTGGGTGGGATATGCTGGGTTAGAGGTGGTGTGAGCCTCAGGTCGGACTGAGGATCCTCCCCTTGAGCAGGTGACATTTTCCTGTGCCCTGACTTAAATAGGGACAAGGAGCACGGTGCCCTCTACAGTGCTGAGCTGGGGAGGGTGCCTTGCCAAGAGCACACCTTTCTGGAGTCCTGCTTTTCTGCTTGGTAAGGGTGTAGAGCCTAGGGCCATTTTATTCTTCACACTGGGGGCTTTTGGGCTTGTTTGTCTCTTTCTGCTGCGAGAGACATAGAAGTAGAAGGAGCATGGTCTTAGTGCTGGTTCCAGTTGAATCCAGAATGCTGGAATTTTCATGGGGCACTAGACCTCCCTGTTGACCTTGCGTGCATGTTCTGGATCTGGGCTGGAAGAGTATCCTGCAATATGGTTATCCCTTACACCTGCTTTCCCTCCACAGCCTCAGTGGCTTGGGCCGCAATATCATTCTCACGACCATGCCGGCAGGTACCAAGCTCATCGCTGGCAACAAACCTGTTAGCTTCCTTACTGCCCAGCAGCTGCAGCAGCTTCAGCAACAAGGTCAGGCCACACAGGTAAGGCTGAGGCAGCTCTGCCTGATCAGGTGTTTTGTTGTTTTCCTGTTTTTAACTGCTGAGCCCGCTTGCAATCTGCCTACCAGACCTTGTCTTTTTTCAACAGGTGCGCATCCAGACTGTCCCCGCTTCCCATCTCCAGCAGGGCACAGCTTCCGGTCCCTCCAAAGCTGTCTCCACGGTTGTTGTGACCACAGCTCCGTCTCCTAGACGGACACCTGAACAGCAGTGACTGAGAGTAGCTTCCATGAGGGACCACGCCTGATCTGTTCTGGCTGAAAGGAAGGGAGCAGGGGGCTGCGTCTTCCCCTGAGCTTGTCTGCCTGAGGCAGGCCAGTGGGAGGATGAAAGCAAGAGCAGCCTAGATTCTGCTGTCGTGCTCCAAATAGAGTCCCAGTTCAGGCCGACTCTGCCTTGTACCAGTCCAGGAGAAGGTTCCGGTAGTGTGGGAGGTCACAGTTACATCATACAAGCCAAAGTTCACCCCTGCGAGTAGGGAAGGCTTACCAGTTACACAGTGGCAGGTGGTAGATGAGCCTCATTTGATGTGACAGTGGTATTTTTATCTTCTGGTCTTTATGACTCAAGGTCTTGATACGAGATTTGTGTCCAGAAAATTTTATGTAACTTATTTTTTTAAAGAACCTATAGTATATCTTTGTCAAATAGAAACCTGAGCTGCAGTGCCCCACCCCAGTCTTATTCTTTTGACCAGAATGAGAAAAGAGCAAGAATTTTGTTAAGTTGGTGGCTAACCTGATGTCTATATATAGTTGCAAGGCTGTAAGATGGGGAAAACGTGTAGGAAGTAAGGTAGTGTGAATTCCCTGAAACAGGATTAGTTTGGCACTGCCTCTTGAAGATGGTGTTGGGACTAATCATCATCCCTACTTTCATGTGCCAATGTTATCTGTGGCACAGCCATTCACATGAAGTCCACAGCCATGGACAGAGCGTAGAGGAAGGACAGTGAGGTGCTACTTTCATAGCACAGACTTTGCATTAGTTCACTCATTGTACATTCTGTTTTTCTGTAGACCCAGAGTCACAGACTAGGTTTTTGGCACAGGCCACCAGTTCTTATATAAACAAAAATTTTTTGGAACAGACTGTTCTCATCCATTTAAGTAGTATGTATGGCTGCCTTCAACTTAGAATGCAAAATTAATTAATGCCATAGAGGCTGCATGGTCCGTATACCCAAACTGTTTCTTCTGTAGCCCTTTGCAAATAAATGTCATTGACCTGTGTTCCAAAGGAGAGTTGGCAGGAGGAGAGGGGTCAGAGGTGCAAGGTCTGGTGTTGCCTGGCAGTCCCGCTTCAGAAGAGGTCAGGCTGGGTTTGAAGTCATTTATTCCCGGCTGTTTTCCACTTCACAGCCTTTGTCAGCTATAGGCAGAGTTCAGGACAATGTCTTAGAAAGTCCTAAGTTCAGAAGGCACTGGTGGTTGACAGTGTTGGGCAGACGTGGATGGGCAAACTTCTCTGCAGTGACAGGACTTCCCTATCTCGAAAGTACCTAAATTATTAAAATTTTGTCTTTAATCCATGGAATTGTAGTGATTATCTCTTGTGGGGTCTGGGTGGGGAGGTAAGTGGAAATGGGTGATTTAGAAGGTAGCTGGGCTGGAGTTGGGGGCCTGGACAAGTTACAGAAGAGGGTTAGTGGCTTGGTGGTTACCTTGTGGTTTTACCATTTCATCTATCAAATAGATGTCCTTGTTCTCCTTTCAACTGTGAAGATGTGAGTCTGAGTTGAAGAAGAGAGCAAGATGAAAATCCAGTTTTCTGATCCTGTGTTTTCTTTCTGCTGTCTTCTGAGGGGAGGTGGCTGGGATGTGCTGTGGTGAGTGTTGGGGGCAGTCAGGGTTGGGAGGTGGAAAGCTGGAATCCACAGAGCAAGGTGATGGGCTAAGAGTGAGCTCTTGTGGGGTGCAGAGGACTGACTCAGGAGTAAGCCTGGGAAGGTTGACAGACAGGGACTGCAGTGAGGGAAAGGGCCTTTTACCTGAAGAAAGGAGCGTTCATCTGTGTTTTATAGTACTCAGATTTGCACACCATTGTTACTTCCGGAGTCATATTTCACATAAAAAGCCATGTGACTATTTCTAAACAAGAAAAAAATAGAAATTTGAGGTATCCTGTCTCAGATCTTACTGCTAGTTAAAAACAGATCTCTTCTGAATTTAGTTAAGGGATCCCACAAATAAGCAGCTCTGGCATTCGGCCTCAACTCTGCCTCACGCTTTCACACTGAAATCACCTGCCTGTGCCGGTCTGTGTGTGTTGCCAAATGTGCCTCTGGAGGGCAGAGAGGCCACATGCTGGCCATTTTAGGCCATCAGTGTGGGGCTGCTCCCTGAGGAGTTGGGGGTGGCTCCCAGAGACGGCCCCAGTGTTGGTACACACATGCTTCCGTGTGCGGACCTTGGGGCTCCAAGCAACGGGGTTGCTGCACCAGTGCTCTGCAGGGAGCACTTCCTGTGGAACAGCTGGTGGCAGCTACTGAGCATCTAGGCTTCTCACTGGCAGATGTTGCTAAAATTATTGAGAACACATGCCCAAGGGAGGATTTGGTAACAGCACATTAAAGTGCGTTTATGCCAGGGTTGGTCACTTCTATGAAGGTATCCTAAACCATGCTGTGTGAAGGGCACCGAAAGAAATATTAATTTTTATACTTCAGTCTTTTAGTCTGGAGAATACATTTTCTTAAAGTATTTTGCCTTTAAAAAATCTCATCTTTTCTGTGACAGTAAGGCAGAGAACAGGTTCATCTTCCCTCCTCCATTCCTAAAGAAAGAGTGCATTTTGTATCACTTGTTAATAATAGGTCCTGCAGTACTATTTGCACAGATGTTTGCGTTCCTGCTCAGCTGGCAAATGAAGTTAGATCCTGAAAGGGGACCCAGGAGTTCAAGTTAATACTTTTGGCAGGTCATTCTTAACTCCTAAGCAGTGACTTCAGTTGTGAAAGTCTGGCTGCTCGTTGCTTTAAGTACAGTTTTCCTTCTTGAGGACGTGCAGAGCTTTATGTAAATTCTTCCTACTGGACTTGTGTGAAGTAGCTTAGAATGGTGAGAAAGACTAGACAATCAAGTCAGACTAGAGACTGGCTTTGCCATGTGGTAGGTGTGTGCCTTTAGACTAACCAACCAGCCTGTGAAGGACTGGGTGTGCTAAAGGTGTAGACAGTGCCGAGAACCAAATGAGATAGAGTGCACCTCAGAATTGAAAAACGCTGTACAAACGGAAGGTATTCTTTGGTTTCTAAGACTCTTCAACTTGGTTCTAGCCCACTTTTGTCCATTTATATCCATAACATAATACATTTAATTCTCCACATCCGTTCATGTTTCTGCTGCTTTTGTAATACTGTTCTGTATTCCTCGAATGGGCCTTTTCTTTCTGGAGGGCAAATGCCTCCTTTCTTCTCCTCTTCTTCCTCATGGTTTGTACTTAACGTTCTCAGAGCCCATCGCTGAGTGTAACTGTCTGTAAATTTCTCCCTGATGTTCGTTTCTCAGCTCTTTGTGGAATACATCCTAGATTAATTCTTATAACCATTTCAATGTGGTGAAAAGTGACTGTTTAATAAATGCCTGTTGAAGGAAGTCTTAGAAAGAAAAAACAGATCGAAAATCAAAACTTACATTACTAATTCAGAATTCATAGTCTTTGCTTTCAGCTATGTTAAAATTCAAGCCTTTCCATAACATGACATTGTTTTTCTACGTTACTATACAGATTCCTGTCTATCCTCTTATTTACTGTTCCTCCTTTGAAGAGTCAAGACAGCAGATTCTAACTCTCAGTTTGGCTACTAACTATCTTCCTGATTTAAAATTTACCTTTGGCCTAGTTTTATACCTTATGAACAGTGGAACTGCAGTGTTCTGATATGATTAGTTAGATAATATTTAACATTTATGATACCAAAGTTAGTAGCTTTTGTTTTAAAAAGATACTTAAGTTAGAATAGTAGTTCTAAGCTAGAGGCTCTGGTCTTTATATCTCCTCATATCTTTTTGATAAGAAAGTACCTGCTTCTTTGGAGAAAAAGAGGCAAATTATCAAAAGCAGCATGATGTTCTGTTGGATTCATCCCCATTCATCTTCCAGAAAGCCACTTCCTGTAGATTTTTAGTCTGGTTTCTGTACATGGAGACACAAGGCTTGCTGCTTACAGGTATTACTTCATTTTTCTTTATGAAAGACTGACAAAGACTTTAAAATTGAAAAATCCAAGCAGCAAGATACACAGTTTTGTGTAATAGATCCTCCAACTTTGTATTAAATGAAGGGTACTAATATACAGTGCTTTAGGAGCAGTCCAAGGCAGGCCTCAAAACAACGAGCAGGAGGTGCACTCACTGCAGCTGTGGGGCTCAGCAGGCTGGGTGGTCTCCGTCTCCCCATGGCTTAATGTCATTCCTCATCAGAGCCACTCAAAAGGGCAGTCTGGTAAGTGTGATCGGACTTCAGCTTTTGAATCCCAATTATCTCTCCTCCTCCTCCTCCTCCTCGTTGGTTCGCCCTAGTCAGAATGCTGTAATAAATTACAAAAACCAATTAGATTAGCCAGAAAAGTCTCCTTGTTCCCTCACCAAAGGACCGTCTATTGGTCATTAAAGCCTTTTCTTCATGTATGTATTAACTACAGTGCTTATAGGCCTACACACCTGACTTCTCAGACAGTATTTTATTTTTAAGTAATAAAGGGACTCATGGTGATGAATATTTAATCATGGAGACTAAATTTAGGTCTGTTGCCATCCAGTTTGATGAATGGAGAGTTTAACTGAATGGAGAGTAGAACTGAGGGAAACCATGGCCTTAGTCTGTTCTATTTGTGCAGGTGAGGTGTCTGCTTTGAGTCTTGTAGGTCAGGACTTTCTAAGTGTCCACTTTGAGTCTGGGGAAATTAGGACCTGGGGAAAAAAGCAGCTCCAGAGCAGTAGAACCATAATTCCACATGTTAAAAATGACCCTTGCACTGCAAGGTGCTGCCATTTACTATTTGGGTGACCTAGGGCACCCAATTAGCCTTCTGAAACCTCGGTTTCCCCTGCTGTAAAAAATCATCCGTACATCGTAAAATGGTGAGGAAGGAATAGGACAATCCGGGCTAAGTGCTTTCCGCAGCACCTGACATAGTGCGTACGTAGGAGGTAATAGTTGGTTCAGTTCCTACACTGCTGACAAGCACTGCGGGAGCCCTTTCTGCTCTAGCTGTCTTTTGGTAGGATTCTGAGGAGAAAGCAAGGCAAGTCCAGAAGTTGGTGATGGGATGAAGTGACAGAACAGGGTCTAATCTTGGTAGCGAAACCCAGCTCAATATTTTCTCCAATTTCACTACAGGTTTAAAAGTTGACTTGGACTCATTTAATTGCACCAAGCCTCATTACCCATATTTGCAAATAAGACTTGTAGTAACTACCCAGCAACTGCAGAGTGTCTTGCACAAAATTGGACATTAATGAGCACATATTAAATATGGACATTAATCACAATTTGGGGGAGTTGGCTAGGACAGAAAACTTCATGAGAGTCAGCTTTTCTCAGGCATACCAGTAAACAAGAGAGTAGTTGATGGCCATGATGCAGAGGGCGACCAGGTAGTGCCAGCAGTAGCACATGGTGATGAACATGATGTTGCCCATGTCATTCTGGTCCCATTCAGGTGTCCCAAAAGGTGGAAAGAGCACAAATCCAATCTGGTGGGTGAGATGGGGATGTTGGTCTTGTGGTTAGTTGTGCTAAGAAGCAGCCGAGGCCTCTTCCAGGGCCACCAGAGTGGCTTGTGCACTCCCTACCCCCTCACGCAGGAAAGTGCTCTAAGTCAGATCACACAGCAGAACCTCAGGGCCTGGGTTTCATGTGGGCAGTTTACTAAGTTGGTCTCATCCCAAGCAGTGGTGCTTGCCATGTGATGTACACAGGTTCTTGTTAATGCACCAGCAGGACATTAATGGAGAAAATTACAGAGGGGTGGACAGGAGGAGGAACAGTCATCTAAACCTATGCCCACGCCTGCATTTTCAGGCATCATGTCACCCTGAAGATTTCCCTTGGGCGTGCTCAAAGGGGCCCATCCACCTAGGCCCTGTGTGGACCATTGGTGTGAGTAATCACCTGCCAGAACCAGGTTCCCTGGAAAATCAGGAGACTGGTTCGGAAAAGTTCCAGCACAATATTGTCCCGAAAGATCACCTCCAGGGCTATACTGATACCTCCTCCGAACAAACCAAACACCAAGAGTAAATGGATGTGTTGGTCCAGCGGAGGTCTGTCATGAACGTGGTAGTAGAAGAGAAAACCTGCAGTGAACCAAAGGACACTCATCAGAGAATTGCTTTTTTCTACTTTTACTCTGGGCTTTTCCACTATTGGAATTTCCTTCTATCCCTGTCTCAAGGCTAGGCTCTTTAGCATTTAGGAAGTCAGTTTATATAACATCACAGGGCAACAAACGGATGCATGTAATTTTGTGGCTATGTTAAGACTAGCAAAGGATGTAACTTTTAAGTATCTGCAGAATCCATGGTAGGATTTTTACTTCATAGTCTACAGCAAGTATTTCATTATAATGATGGAAAGCTGACCAGTACAGTGGGTCTCCTAAGATTTGTGGTGGAGGCTGGACAATAACACCCCAAGGTGTGAGCTGTAAAGGTTTTCTTCCAAGCCACCCCCCAACGTAGCATTCAGCCAGCTATGTGGTGTTTCGTAAGTGTGCACATACACCCGTGCACAGACGTGTACACATGTATGAACATGCATTGGTGGCATCAGGAAGCCAAGGAGGGCTTGTGCAGTGTTGACAGAGGTTTAAGAAGTGCCTGCATGCCCCAGACTTCCATGAGCTGCTTACAGAATATGTTGTCTGGACCATCCAGAGCATAGGACCAAGCCAGTTCAGGATTTGGCAGTCCTGAGAGTTGGATTTGCTGGGGAAGGTTATTGTGTTCGCTTTATTTCTGGACTTTTATGCTCTGATCCTCATAAATTGTATCTGTGTCTCCTCCCATCTCTCCATCTGTTCTACTTAGTTACCTTCGGTAAATACTGCCACAGCCAAAACCCATCTGTCCACCCCCAAGGGGATGTGGGTAACCAGGAGGGTGAGCATGTCAATGATTGCTGAGACTCCAAAGAATAAGTACATGGTACTGTGCTGCCAGTTCATTAGTTTTATCCAGTGGTTTTCATTGTAGAGGTGGAGGTGGGGCCCGTCAGGAACAAACTGCTCTGCCAGGATCCCTGCGGGGAAATGAGCAGAAAGTGAGGAGTGAAGACTAAGTAGCTTCGAGATGAATAGGAGACAGAAAAATCAAAACAAGAGGCAGGAACAAAGCCAGATGTGATCATGGTGGCTCACAAGTCAGCAGGCTGACTTTGCTACCTCAGGTGCGGCCATTTCAATATAGAAAAGGTATTCACTGAGTGATCTATATGGACACCTGACTGATGTTTGTCCTTTGGGGGTTGGAGATGGGAAAAAAGCTATAGAAACACAGCCACACACAGATCCCCAGGGAGTTTATCCAGCAGCAGAGATGAAAACAAGGCCTTAGTACTCAAGTGAGAGTGGCTGATACATCTCGGCTCCCCTGCCAAGTGAGCAATGAAAGAGATGCTAGGAAAAAACAATTGGATTGAACGCAGAAACCAAACAGAGACAACCGATGGAAGGGCCTGTCCAGGCCTAATGGAGGGGAGCAGCTCCCAGGGGAATCTGTCAGGCCAGACTTAAGCGAGTGCCCTTCCTTGGACAGAGTGGGATCTGAACTGTGGACTCTGGCTGGCAGTGAGTCAGGTGAAGGCCCACGCTGTGTTTCTGGCCATACTGTATACAAGGAGAGATGAGTCAAGCCAGCTACAAGGAGCTGCACCTCGGGGTAGCTCTCAGTTCTTTGGGAAGGCAGAAGGTTTGCCTTCATGCTGGGTGTCCACAGTGTTCCGGGGAAAACCAGAATCTTTAATTCATCTCTTTCACGGGGCCCGGAAATAGTTAAGGTTTCTGGGTTTGATGGGGAAGTTTCCTGGATCCAAAGACCCTGCACTTACCAATGACTGAAAACAAAGTCTTGAGTGCGGCTTCAATGAGCTCAAGACGCTGCTGAAGATGGTCCAGCTTGTTCTTCTTCCCTCGGTGGTGGAAATACTTCAGCGGGTACTTCACTGACCACCACAGACCGATTATCAAGAAGAAACTCCCCGGGAGAGCATGGCCCTTGAAGTTTGCCATCCGTGCTACAGGACACATAAAAAGTTGGGGACAGCTGTTAGGTGGCTAAATGAGAAGACATAACTAAGTATGATGGCAGGAAACACAGCACATCCCTGAGGATGTCAAATCATAAGCATCAAGGAAGATCAACTCATTTCATTAACCTTTTTGATAAGTTATTGAAATCTCACAAGTGAGTTACATGGTGGAGAAATACCACTGCTTGTAAGGCTTTACGCAGAGGTGATTAAGACATAAGGCCTCCCCCCATCATGAGTGAGATGAGGTGCCCTTAAAAGGAGGCTTGGGGGAGGGAATTGGTCGCCCTTTGTGGCCCTGGGGCATGTGAGAATTCAGCCCTCACCAGATACCAGATGCTGGCACCTTGATCTTAGAATTCCTTTTTTAAAAAAAGTTTTTATTGGTTCATGTTTGCAGTACATAAGGATCACACTTCTCATGGAGAGTTGGTGCATGCAGAAAGCACATCAGTTCTTTCCATCCTCTTCCCTGTCCTGCCCTCCGTCTCTTGGTCCCCTTTCCTTTTTGTTTTTGTATTTTGGAGACAGGGTCTTACTGGGTAGCCCAGGTTGGCCTCAAACTCACTGATCTTCCTGCCTCAGCCTCCTGAGTGCTGGGTTTATAGGCATGTGCCACCACACCTGGCTTAGCCTTTCCTTTTTTTTTTTTTTTTTTTTGGAGACAGGGGCTCACTATGTAGCCCAGGCTGGCCTTGAACTCGTGGCAATCCTCCTGCCTCAGACCCCCCAGTGCTGGAATTATAGGCATGCACCACCACGTCCAGCTTCCCTTTTCCTTTTGTAAAAGATCTATCTCCCTATTTGCTAGTGTCCATTTCTTATTTTGCCCTTTATATTTTGGATTTTTCATATATGAGGAACCGCGCAATATTTAAGCTTGTGTCTCTGATTTATTTAACATTATGGTCTCAATTTAACATTATGCATCCATTTTCCTACAAATAACTCCAGTTTATCCTTTTTTATGGCAAAGTAGTACTCCACTGTGTATACAAATCTTCATCTGTTGATGGACATATAGGCTGCTTCCAAGATTTAGCTCTTATGAATTGTGCTGCTATAAATATGATTATATGTGCATCACTGTAGTATGATGGCTTTTAAACTGTTTCAGGCTATAGGGAATAGCCAGATTAAATGGAGTTTCTATTTTTAATGTTTTAAGGAATTTCCATACTGGTTTCCATAAAGCTTGTACTACTTTACATTCCCACCAACGATGCAGAGGGGCTCCTTTTCCCCCATAGCCTTGCCAGCATTTGTTATTATTTTATTTCTTGGAGATGGCCATTCTTTCTGGGGTAAGATAGAACCTCAGTATTGTTTTAACTTGCATTTCTCAGCCAGTGATATTGAACATTTTGTTATGTATTTATTGGTCATTTGTACTTCTGAGATGTGTCTATTTATTTGAGTTGTACATTTTTTTGACTGGGCCTAGTTTGGCAGGGCTATAATTGTTTTGAGATCTACATATATTTTAGATATGAGTCCTTTGAGGTATAGTTGGCAAAATTTTTTCTATTCTGTAGGTTGTCTCTTTACACTGTTGCTTGTTTCCTTTGCTGTGTGGAAGCTTTTAAATTTGATATGATCACATTTGTTGATTCTTGATGCTATTTCTTGTGCAAATGGGGTTCTGTTCAGAAAGTCTTTGCTTACACCTATGTCTTCAAGAGTTTTACTTTTTTTACCTTCAAGCAAATTGTCTCAGTTTTAACATTTAAATCTTTGTTCCACAGTGATTTTAGTTAACTACATAGAAAGATATATGGGTGTAGATTCATATATACAGCCAGTTTTTCCCAGCACCATTTATTAAAGAGGCTGTCTTTCCTCCATTTGTGTATTAGGCCCATTTGCCAAAGATCAGATAGCTGAGTGTGCCTGGAGTTGTTTCTGAATCCTTTATTCTGTTCCATTGATCCATGTGTCTGTTTTTGTGCCAGTACCATGCTGTTTTTTTTTAAAAAATTGATATAGCTTTGTAATATAACTTGAAATATGGGATTATAATGCCTCTTGTTTTGCTTTTGTTGCCCAGGATTGCTTTTGCTATTCTGGGTCTCCTTTGGTTCCATATAAATTTTAGGATTGTTCTCTCTAGTTCTGTGAGGAATGGTGTTTATACTTTGATTAGAATTGCATTAAATCTACATACCAGTTTTGGTAAAATGGTCATGTTGACAGTCTTCCTTCTGTCTCTCCAGGAATAGGTGATGTTTTTGATCTTGTTTTTCAGAATATTGTAGTTTTCACTGTAGAGGTCTCTTACTTCCTTGGTTAGGTTAATTCCTAAGTATTAAATTTTTTCTTGAAGCTATTGTGAATGGTTTTGTTTTCCTAATTTCTTTCTTCGTGGATTTAGCATTGGTATACAGGGATGCTATTGATTTTTGTGTGCTGATTTTGTTCCCTGCTATCTTGCTGAATTTGTTTATGAGTTCTAGAAGTATTATGGTTTGGGGCTAGGTGTCCCCCCAAAGCCTCATGTAGTCATATGTGGGGCTTTTCAGAGGTAGCTGGATGTGAAGTGTGTGATGCTGGGATCATGGATGTGTAATTACTAAGTTATTCCACTGATTGGTTTGGCATCATTCTGGGTAGGATTAAGGGTGCCCCACCCAGGGTGTGAGTGATAGCCCACCTATCTGTGGGTAGGCTGGGTAAGTATAAAAAATAGAAAGAGGACTGCTAGTCACTTGTTGCTTGCTGCTGCTTCTGATGCTGCTGCTTGTTTTCTGCTGTTGCCTGCTCTGTGATGCCCCTCTGCTATGCCACTCTGCCTTGGAGCCAGCTGATTATGGACTGAAACCTCTACAAACTGTGAGCCCAATAGATCTTTCCTCCTTTAAATTTGGGTGTTGGGTATTTTATTTCAGCAATGAGAGAAGTCTTTTGGTAAAGACAAGAAATCTTTTGGTGGAATTTTTTGGGTTTCTATGTGAAGGATCATATCTTCTGCAAATAACAGTTCCCTATATATCCCTTTTATTTCTTTCTCTTGGTTGTTCTAATGTTTGGAGAACTATATTGAACAGGAGTGGTGATAGTGGACATACTTGTCTTGTTGCTGATTTTAGAGAAAAAGCTTTCAGTTGTCCTCATTTAATATGATGTTGGCAAGTTTGTCATAAATGGCTTTTATCAGATTGAGATAAAGTCCTTCTATATCTGTTTTCTTCAGTTTTTATTATGAATATATGTTGTATTTTGGCATTTTTTTTTCTGCATCTATTGAGACAATCATGTGATTTTTGTCCTTGCTTCTGTTTATGAGATGTATTACATTTATTGGTTTGCATATTTAGAGCCATCCTTGCATCTTTTTTTTTTTTTTTTTTTTTTTTTTTTATCTTTTTGAGACAGGGTCTTGCTATGAAGTTCAGACTGGCCTTGAGCTCACTTTGTAGCCCAGGCTAGTCTGAAACTCCTGACGATCCTCCTGCCTCAGCCTCCTGAGTGCTGGGATTACAGGCATGTGCCACCATGCCTGGCAAGGATCAGTTGTTTAAATTAGTAATTTTTTCTTTTGGTACTGGGAATTGAACTCAGGACTTTACGCTTGCCAGGCAGGCACTTGTGCCACTGAGTTATAACCCTGGCTCCAATTTTTTTATTTTTTATTTTTGAAACAGGGTCTCCTTGTATAGTTCAGGCTGGCCTTGAACTCATTATGTAGCCAGGCTGGCCTCGAACTCGTGGCACTCCTCCTGCCTCAGCCTCCTGAGTGCTGGGCATCCTTGCATCTAGAAGCTTACTTTGTCATGATGTATGATCTTACTGATGATTTGTTGTATTGTATTTACCAGTATTTTGTTGATATTTGCATCTGTGTTCATTTAAGAGATTGTCCTGTAGTTCTCTTTTTTGGTTGGATCCTTGTCTGTTTTTGGAATCAGGATACTACTAGCTTCCAGGAATGACTCTGGGAATACTCCTTTCTTTTTAATTTCATTGAAGGGTTTAAAGAGTACTAGTGTTAGATTTTCCCTGTTATTTGGGGTTTTAAAGTCTTCTTGGTTAAGTTTTGGTAATTCATATGTATCTAAGGATCTATTAATTTCTTCTGAATTGTCCAGTTTATTGGCATGTAGGTTTTGGAAGTAGTTGCTAGCGATCTTCTGGATTTTGGCAGTGCCCATTGTGATTTCACCTTTTTCCTTTTTAATTATATTTATTTGGGTCTCCCCCAACTTCCTTCTTTTTTGGTAAGAAGGCCAAGGGTTTGTCTATGTTGTTTATTCTTTGAAAGAACTGACTCTTTAATTCTTGATTCTTTGTATTGTCTTTTTAGTCTCAATTTCATTAATTCTGCTCTGATCTTTATAGTATCCTTCCTTGTACTAGCTTTGGATTTGGATTGCTCTTGTGTTTTTAGAACCTTCAGGTACATCATTAGGTTATTTATTTTGGCTTGGTCTGTTTTTCTCATGTGGCCATTCAGAGATATAAACCTCCCTTTTAGGCTGCTTTCATTGTGTCCCATAAGTTTTGCTATGTTGTGCTGGCATTACCATTTGATTCTAGCAACTATGTTCCCTGATTCTTCTATGACCTCGTGATTATTCAAGAGAGTGTTTGTTTAATTTCCATGTGTTTGCACAATTTCTGTGGGTTCTTTTACCATTGAATTCTAGTTTCATTGTGCTATGATAATATGCATGGGATAATTTCAGTGATTTTGCATTTGTTTAAGCATGCTTTATTGGCTAGTATGTGGTTTATTTTGGAGAATGTTCCATGTGCTGGTGAGAAGAATGTATATTCTATTATTGGGTGGAATACTCTGTAGATATCTATTAAGTCCATTAGTTCAAACATTTAGTTTAACTCTGATACTTCTTTGTTGATTTTTTTGTCTAGTTTTATTTTTGACAGTGGGATATTGAGGTCCCTCAATATAATTGTGTTGATATTTGATCTTTTATGTCCAGTAGTGTTTATGATACAAAGTTGGGTATGCTGGTGTTTAATGCATT